AACTAGCATTGTAATTTATACAAAAGTTACACGTTCTATCCCGTTCGAGGTCACTTTACAGTTATTGTTTGGACAGGGCAGGACGTCCTAAGAACTACATTGGTGTGACTCAGGCTTTACCAACAGGTAGCATGGCTGGACAAACAGAACACCATCGTTCGTTCATACATGCTACAAGACTAGACTTGTTGACAGGACTGCTGATGTTTTTTCCCCCATTGTCTTGGCAGTGGTTTGTTTTTGCCAACAATCTTGACTTCTAGCGCCGTTGGCGATCCTCTTTTGATTTGCTCCCCTGCTTTGATTGAATCTTGTCTGGCATACCTGTCCCAAACAACATCAACTCTAATACAGTCTGTTCGATTCAGAATTAAAGTGAAGTTGTCTCAATGCATATCAGCCAAGTGTCCAAATGTGGAAGCAGCTCCCTTTCTGAACATTTGCAATTTTGCCATTCCATCAACTATATGAACTGGCAACATTCTCTCTTCTGCTAGTATAAGCAGCGAAGGACCAAAAGCTTTTAAAGTTCATTTAACAAACCGCTTTTGATGTTCTTTCTTAATGTTCCATCTGAATGGGCCATTGTAAAATGAACACTAGAAATGTCCATGTTCACATCAGGGTTGATGACAAATCCACTCAATCTTCCAAATGAATGATGTCTGCATCTTGTGAACATTGGAAGTGGAGTTGTTGTCCCAAAGGATATGATTCACAGCCTCTTGCATGTTAAACAGATTGGGGCAGAGCAAAGGGATAACATCATAAGTAGTCGATTGAACTCTTCCAGGACAAACTTGTGGTCACCTTTACATCGACTGAACCTGAAAACCTTTTCTACATTGATTCCAAGAAAGGATGTAAAGCCCAGGAATGAGAAACTTCACACAACAAATGGATGACAATTTGGATGTTCAAGAAACACTCATTATATCTTGTGGCCAGTTTGTGAGTTCTATTCATGTACCAAATAATCCAGTGATGTCTGTAGATGACACAAGATATTGAATGAAAACCTCCCACCAACATCCAACAGTCTAAAACATCACATTGAAAGAATAAACTACCAAGTCCATGTTTGGAAACAGTCTCTGCAACCAATCATGAACATCCCTTCACCAGTTGACCATGGTTGGAGCATTTGTGATGGTCAGCTTATCCTATTCTGATGTCGAGATCCTGCTCCCCGTGGATTGGTTGAACTGACATCGTGTAAATGCAAAAAGTCAGCATGCCAGCAGAAAGAATGATATAGTGTGCACATAGGCATGTCTTTTTGTATGGCAGATGATTGTTGCCCGAACACATTTGACTTGTTGCCAGTAGATGACTCCGATTCTGACATGAGTGAGTGAGTGAGTTTAGTTTTACACTGCATTCAGCAATACTCCATCTATATGGCGGCAGTCTGTAAATAATCGTGTCTGGACCAGACAATCAAGGAATCAACAGCATGAACATCAATCTGTGCAATTGAGATACGATGACATGTGTCAACCCAGTCAGCGAGCCTGACAACGTTACCAGATCCCGTTATTGGGTTATTGAAGATAAATTCTAACCCACATCTCTGCAGGTCCGATTGTGACATGAAGTAACATATGAAATGAAAGAAAGTGAAAAGGAGGGTTAATTGCAAGCTTATGGATGTATCAAAAGTGATTAAGAGTTATCTGATAGATCAATTTGAATGCCTACAACCAAAACAGACGTAGTTATCGGCCATGAAGCATAGTTTTCAAACACTTTTGGATAATGTTATTTCATCAAATATTTTAGGAGTGTGAAGCTTTGAATGACCTTATCATTGAAATTTAGCTCTATTCCTATACTGTATTCAACATTAGACACCAAATGATTTGTTTGGATTTCATATCAGTTACAAATTTAGTCCTCCACTAAGTATATGTAGTTAAAACTACAATGGCGGCCACTTTGGCGGCCATTTTGAAATCTGGGTAATATGTAAGCATTCCTAATAACATGCCGTCACTCTAGAAGTAAAGAGAAAACAAAACAACTTGTTTTAGTAACAAAATAATGTAAACTGCCATTAAATAAATCACTCTGACACATTTCCATGAAAAGACTGAGAAATGCCAAAATACCCCTGTCTCAAAGAATGGCTGTAAAACATTAAATTACCATGCTATGACCATACAAAATGACTTGTTTTGTGCCAAAGCCATCATTCTAGGAAAACAAATGTCAAAACACATCAAAAGTATCAACTTTGGATGTAAATGGAAACATTCGATGTACATTTTATGTAGATTTAAGTGCTGAGAAGGCAAAACACGACAAAACAAAATGGCGGCCATAATGGCGGCCATTTTGATTTTTTCAAAACAAAATTATGTCCAAATAATTTCTACATCCTTTAGCAGTACACAGAAGTCAAAATAGAAAGTGATCTGATTGATGGTAGTAAAACTATTAATGATTAACTTTGAGGTGTTGTCGGGCAGCAAACCAAATGTGATGAAAATGCCCCCAGACCCCCACCACATATAATGGCCTGTAAAAAAAAACTGATACCACAATCTGAGAGTATTACAGGCCTTTTCATGAGCCCAAGACATCATACTAACTGAAAATAGTGTCAAACAAAATCAGTACTAGGGAGGCTACGAAATCCTATTTCTAGGCCCCTTTTGAGATTCTCCTCCTGGACTATAACGTTTCTTGGTGGTTCAGGGAGATTAAGAAAAGAACCAATGTACAGTGAAATCATATTTATTTACATGGTGCATAAGGATTAAAATATATTGAATCTAGATTTCTCATTTACATTGTGCAGCTTACACAAGCTGCTCTACGCATTCTAGCACCATCCGGGGGACCACACTCCACCCCAGTTCTTGGGATCACCCTTGGGGTCTTGAGGGGGGTAGTGTGCCGGTACCATGGACTGTCTCCACTTCTCCAGTCTCAGCTTCATGGAGGCCAGGAGGTCGGGGAACTTGGTCGCCAGGTCATGGTGTTCAGTCGGGTCAGCTGGAAGGGGCAATACGTTTTAGTGTTAAACTTGATAATGCTGCCAACTCAAAATATCTTCAAATTAACATTACTGCGAACTTGAAATGTCTAAGCATGAAATGCCCGTTTTGCTTTGTGCTCCCTTTGGCTGTGACGAAAGGGCTTATACGTTTCAGTGCCAAACTTGATAATGCTGGCAACTTAAAATATCTCCGAATGAATAACGAAATGTCTACACTTTATTATTCGGGCAGATACATCTATCCCCAGTGCGTCAGACATGGCAACTGATCAGGATAGCCTGGTAAAGCTAGGAGACTGAGATGACCTGTTGCCAGCACGTCTCAGCAGCCTGGGTTTGTGGTCACATGTCATCAGCCCTCGGTTGACTTGGCAAGCTGTTTTTCCCCTCCCACCGTCCACAGCTGTCAATGCTCTCTATAGTTATATAGCATTCACTCAATCGTCATTATTTGGAGTCCTGTATGTGATTATGGTCCAGGGTACCGATCCACAAAGCGTTCGTAACGTTACGATCTGTGGTAACTCTACAGTTTATCATAGACTTACGAATGTCGTAGCGGTACGAACGCTTTGTGGATCGGGAACCTGTTGAAGGTTATTTTGGTATTCACAATCCTCAAGAGAGAAATGCTCTTTTCACTGAATGCGATTCTGGCTTTTGATGAGCAGACACACACAATTTAGATCATTTCAGCAACTTAGGCCATTAGTCCATGGGATAGTCGCCATGGTTATATTCTACTGGCGTTATTGCAGCCTAATCTGACCCAACTAACATTGTACATGGAAAGTGACAATCTCCAAATGCTGACAACAGACAATTATGTACACCTACTCTGTGACAGATCAGCTTAGAAGGCCATACCTGTAAGGTTATACAGCTGGTATTGGGGCCATGTCTTTTTGTCCATTTGGAAAATTTCATCCAACCTCGGCAATGGGTACCAGTCGTTGAAGTCTCCGGGCTTGCCGTATATCAGCTTCATATCCCCATACCTAGCAGAGGCAACATAGATCATCACCCATCTGTTGCTGACAATACGGTGACGCTAGGCAAGTTATAAAAAACACAATTTCATATGGAGGTATGTCTCCTAGGTAACCCAGAAACTTGAACGTGGGTTCCAAGACAGATTCGTGAAGTTCATGGGTTTCACGTGAATGGAAATGGCCTGTGAATTGCATTCCATAGTAAAATGACATATATTGTGCAGCGTTCGCATCCTTGAATATCCTGGACAATTTCCTACTCCGATAAGCACTTTCAACCCGGACGTACTCATTACGAATGTGACGTCACCTTCTCCATCTGCCTTATCACGAACATAGCACAGAATGTCTTCTGCTCGTCTGAGTAATTCTATAGGATGGGTTTTTTTTCGTGATGGTAGCAAATGCGTCTTGGGTATTCACTTCAAATTAGTAACTCAAAGGACATTAATAAAGTATCGGAGACGTTAAGCTGGGTACAGACCTGATGGCTGAGTTGTTCCTGAGGTCGTCTATGTTGTAGACAAACTCCAACCTGTTGCTGGGCCAGTTCTTACTCAGCATGTCCCACTGGTTCACGCCATCCAAGCCGGGGTCTGAGATTACAAGCAGTTAATGTTTCTCCCAAAGCTAGAGTGTTGGGAGGAAGTAAATGATACTACCCTATCTACACAGAACAGTTATCCTGATCATCTTATCTTTTTTCGTAACCAGCTCAAAACAAGTGAGTGAGTTTAGTTTTACGCGGCTTTTAGCAATATTTCAGCAATATCACGGCGGGGGACACCAGAAATGGGCTTCAGACATTGTATCCATGTAGGGAATCGAACCAGAGTACGTCCTTGGCGTGACGAGCGAACGCTTTAACCACTAGGCTACCCCACCGCCCAGAATCTGATATCCATTACTAGTTTCCCACGTCCTGGCACTGTTGGAATAGGTCTTAAATTGTGAGTCACTCACTCACTCACTCATTCACTCAAACATACACATAAACAACTCACCTGGTCGACCCCCAGCCAGGTGGAGGAGTGTTGGGAACCAGTCAACAGCGTGTATCATTCTGCAACACACAAAATACTTATATTACACACAAAATATTAAAAACAAAATACGGTTAAATCCATATGCGTTATCGTCCTCGATTAGAACCCTCTGGCGATACAACCTAGTACCATGAGCTGTAAAGAGCAGCTCGCGACACCAGCCGATGAATCTATACATCTGCAAGGGCGACTCAAGTAAAAATACCGACTACAGTTCTATCCCTTAAGTATGACTCACCCTGAGATGGTGTAACCTCTCCCTTAGGAATGACTCACCCTGTGATGGTGGAACCTCTCCCTTAAGTATGACTCACCCTGTGATGGTGGAACCTCTCCCTTAGGAATGACTCACCCTGTGATGGTGGAACCTCTCCCTTAAGTATGACTCACCCTGTGATGGTGGAACCTCTCCCTTAAGTATGACTCACCCTGTGATGGTGGAACCTCTTCCTTAAGAATGACTCACCCTGTGATGGTGGAACCTCTCCCTTAAGTATGACTCACCCTGTGATGGTGGAACCTCTCCCTTAAGAATGACTCACCCTGTGATGGTGGAACCTCCTCCCTTAAGCATGACTCTGTGATGGTCCTCCCTTAAGAAATGACTCACCCTGTGATGGTGGAACCTCTCCCTTAAGTATGACTCACCCTGTGATGGTGGAACCTCTCCCTTAAGTATGACTCACCCTGTGATGGTGGAACCCTGTGATGGATGGTGTAACCTCTCCCTTTAGTATGACTCACCCTGTGATGGTGTAACCTCTCCCTTAAGTATGACTCACCCTGTGATGGTGGAACCTCTCCCTTAAGTATGACTCACCCTGTGATGGTGTAACCTCTCCCTTAAGTATGACTCACCCTGTGATGGTGTAACCTCTCCCTTAAGTATGACTCACCCTGTGATGGTGTAACCTCTCCCTTAAGTATGACTCACCCCTCTGATGGTGTAACCTCTCCCTTAAGAATGGTGGACTCTCCACCCTGTGATGGTGGAACCTGTCCCTTTAACCTCTCCCCCTTATGGTGGTAGTATGACTCACCCTGTGATGGTGTAACCTCTCCCTTAAGAATGACTCACCCTGTGATGGTGGAACCTCTCCCTTAGGAATGACTCACCCTGTGATGGTGTAACCTCTCCCTTAAGAATGACTCACCCTGTGATGGTGGAACCTCTCCCTTAAGTATGACTCACCCTGTGATGGTGGAACCTCTCCCTTAAGAATGACTCACCCTGTGATGGTGGAACCTCTCCCTTAAGAATGACTCACCCTGTGATGGTGGAACCTCTCCCTTTAAGTATGACTCACCCTGTGATGGTGGAACCTCTCCTTAGGAATGAACCTCTTCCTCCTCTCACCCTGTGATGGTGGAACTCACCCTGTGATGGTGGAACCTCTTCCTTAAGTATGACTCACCCTGTGATGGTGGAACCTCTCCCTTAAGTATGACTCACCCTGTGATGGTGTAACCTCTCCCTTAAGTATGACTCACCCTGTGATGGTGTAACCTCTCCCTTAAGTATGACTCACCCTGTGATGGTGTAACCTCTAATGGTGGAACTCCCTTAAGAATATGACTCACCCTGTGATGGTGTAACCTCTCCCTTAAGTATGACTCACCCTGTGATGGTGTAACCTCTCCCTTAAGAATGACTCACCCTGTGATGGTGTAACCTCTCCCTTAAGTATGACTCACCCTGTGATGGTGGTAACCTCTCCCTTAAGTATGACTCACCCTGTGATGGTGGTGTAACCTCTCCCTTAAGTATGACTCACCCTGTGATGGTGTAACCTCTCCCTTAAGTATGACTCACCCTGTGATGGTGTAACCTCTCCCTTAAGTATGACTCACCCTGTGATGGTGGAACCTCTCCCTTAAGTATGACTCACCCTGTGATGGTGGAACCTCTCCCTTAAGTATGACTCACCCTGTGATGACTCACCCTGTGATGGGTGGAACCTCTCCCTTAAGTATGACTCCACCCTGTGGTGTAACCTCTCCCTTAAGTATGACTCACCCTGTGATGGTGTAACCTCTCTCCCTTAAGTATGACTCACCCTGTGATGGTGTAACCTCTTCCTTAAGAATGACTCACCCTGTGATGGTGTAACCTCTCCCTTAAGTGACCTCACCCTGTGATGGTGAAGAATGACTCCACCCTGTGATGGTGTAACCCTCCCTTAAAATGACTCACCCTGTGATGGTGTAACCTCTCCCTTAAGTATGACTCACCCTGTGATGGTGTAACCTCTCCCTTAAGTATGACTCACACCCTGTGATGGTGTAACCTCTCCCTTAAGTGACTGACTCTGTGATGGTGTAACCTCTGTGATGGTGTAACCTCTCCCTTAAGAAATACTCACCCTGTGAAGGTGTAACCTCTCCCTTAAGTATGACTCACCCTGTGATGGGTTAACCTCTCCCTTAAGTATGACTCACCCTGTGATGGTGTAACCTCTCCCTTAAGTATGACTCACCCTGTGATGGGTTAACCTCTCCCTTAAGTATGACTCACCCTGTGTTGGTGTAACCTCTCCCTTAAGTATGACTCAACCCTGTGTTGGTGTATTTCAACTTCTTCAACAACGTCTTACTGTACACGAACGCCGTTCCCTTGGTCCCTCCTTCCCACAGAGTCGTCTTGGCCCCCCGGAGAGGCAGGTTGTTCGCCCCGGCGTAAGTAGGGCCACCGTTCTGTGTCAATACGTTTTATCATTATTATTTTTATCATTAATAATTGAAGGATATAGCATGTTGATGCCAGTTCACATCATAAATCTACGAACATCTCGCTGAAGACATGCATAACTAATAATGCTTTAGACAATACTCTTCTTACTAATGTACGTTAAAAGAAAATTCTACAATTATTTAACTACAAACCACGTCTTCCCATGCTACAATGAAACCATTATAAAGATATCTAATCTTGTAAAACCCAGTTTTGTTTCCCCGTTATGTTTCCCCGTTGCCTTAATGACGCACGTCGGTGGTGAAGACGAGTAGGAGGTTGTCTATGAGGCCGCTGTCTCGTAGTGCCTGGGTGATGTTGCCGATCGCCTCATCCAGCGCCGATACCATGCCTGGCATGTACAGAAGGAATGATATAACATGGCGTCCTGCACAGTTTGAGTGTGTCAGAGATCAAACCAGTGGTCAACAATGGCCTGGCATGTACAGAAGGAATGATATGAACAAGGCGTCCTGCAGGGTTTGAGTGTGTCAGAGATCAAACCAGTGGTCAACAATGGCCTGGCATGTACAGAAGGAATGATATAACATGGCGTCCTGCAGAGTTTGAGTGTGTCAGAGATCAAACCAGTGGTCAACAATGGCCTGGCATGTACAGAAGGAATGATATAACATGGCGTCCTGCAGAGTTTGAGTGTGTCAGAGATCAAACCAGTGGTCAACAAAGGTCATGATGACAGGTTCACTGGTGAACTGAATCCTTCAATTATTGAATGGAAGTGATATATATCTTCCTGTATATGTACAGATATATACGACCCCAAGAATATTGGGAGATTTGTGTTCTCTTGCTCATGTCAGCATTTACCAAAATTAGCCATGAGACTCCTCAATGTACGTCATTAGTCGACTGCAAAGTTCGGTCGAGCTGGACATAATGGTATCGGATGGTACAATGATTCCTTGAATGTATTAGTCCTACAACTGCACCTTCATTCGCAGTAACCGGACAGTACATGGTGACCCGATCTTGACACACAACATCCGTGAGTTCTTTCCTGCTGTCTGAAATTTCACTGAAGCAACAATAGTGCTTGATTTTCTTTTGCAATAAATTTGTATCCGATAGGTTTTAAATTACGATGCTTTAAAAATAGACAATTATTTTGGGTTTCTCTATCTCATTCCAGAATTTACCAATTAAAGAAAATGTCTCAGGGATAAACTTTTCTTTGTTTTCTCTCAAAACGGTTTTGCTACGATGAAATACCAGGATGCAGTGGATTGTCGACTCTGGTGTGCTCATTTTGACACTTTAGTTTTGTGGCTTAATCTGTACAGTGGAATTCCATTAATGCACACAGTAATGTTCCAGAAGACATCGTCCAAATCATTGTTCCTTTGTATACATGTATATGTACACTTACCTATCAAAAATTGTCCTTTGACTTCACGTTCAACAGCTATTGACCTTTAGAAATATGTGACGGTCTCTGTCCGTCTTTGTTTTGGAAATATGTACACATTTATGTCGGTGATTGTCCTTTCGGAAATGTAGTCGTTTTATAATCAGAATCGTCCGTACAAGACGTGCTTCAAAATACCCATTTTTGAAGATGATCGTCACATAAATTACCACAATATGTCCTCCGCTGTTTCGTCGTGATGTTCCTGTACATATCTTCAAATCGTTGTGGAACCTGAAACAGTTGGCTTGGTACTCACTGACAGTGTACACAAGGTACATGCAATATACTAGGTCCATACACAGTAGTTATTGGTTGTATGTTGTACAGCTTGATGAGTCGTTATCCTCCTACTCTGATACAGTAAAGGTACTGTACGGTGTGTGTATACCACCTTGTGTGTTATAATTCTACTACGATGTGTGTACGGGGTGTATCTGAGCTACCTGTAGTATCTCACGAGTGTGTATGGGGGTATCTGAGCTACCTGTAGTGGTTCGTGGACAGACTGGAAGGGCAGGTACAGGTACAGGGGTTTGGTCTTGTCGTGGGTCCTGATGATTTCTTCAGCTCGCGAGGCAAACGTCATCTGAAAACAAACAAATCTTGGTTCGAAAACATTAACAGAAATAGGTTTTCAAATTGAGGTTCCCAAAAGGTGGAGTATTTGACCACGGTATTTGGCTGTTTTGGTTGAATTTACCACGTGTTAGAATTTGGCCCAAAACATCTGTGACCCAAATGATTCAAGAATATATTTGAATACAGCTTCCAAAAGTTTACGGATTTAGTAGTCTGACTGGTTTCTTTCTATGGTCTTGGTGTTGTCCCAGTTGATGGTGTGGTTAGGGTGGGCTTTGATGTGGTCAGCAATGGCTGATTTAGAATTGTTGTTCCTAACTGAAGCCTGGTGTTCCTTGATCCTGAGGGTGAGTGGTCTTGGTGTTTCTCCAACAAAGGAGTCACCGCAGTCACATTCTTTGTGGTAAACCACACCTGAGGGGTCTACCTGTGACATGCAAGAGGTTCTGGATGCTGTTGCCTCTTTGGAGTCAGACTACAAAATTCGTAAACGTTTGGAAGCTGTACACATCAAGAAGATAGGCCCTTCCATCAACAGAGACAAAGGATACTACAGTCCTAAAGCCTACCATCACTTGATAAAATAATCGCCCTTCACAGAATAAAAGAAGTTGTATATCCATAAAAATTGTCATCATGCTTAGTCAACTCAACTTCTTAAATGCCCATCAAAGAACTGAAGCCATGTGCTGATCATATATGGATTGTACTGAAGCCACGTGCTGATCATCTATGGATTGTACTGAGGCCAGGTGTTGATCATTTATGGATTGTACTGAATTTACATGGAGGATCCTCTATGGAGTTTCCTATAAAGGATGGTGGGATACTAAAAGACAAAAGAATTCGAAGTTCTGAAATATTAGATTGCCCTGATATAGTCGCTAAATGAAAAAGTGAAAACCTATTTTTGGCCCTGGTCTCTGTAAAGCATAATTGTTTGACTTCAGTTGAACGATGCGGTGCTGCTCACTGTCTAATGCTTGCTCAATGACGTACCGCGGAGTAAGGTCCACTGTAATTTCTTGCCACTGTTTTATTGAACCGGAAGTCAAACCCGTCATCTGTAAAACACAAATACTGCTGTGAGATCTCTCAAAATATTTTGGGATTAAGATGTAATCGGCTTTGTATTGGCAATCAATATGTCTCGTAATGTCGAAGCTTACATCGAAGCACACTAAATTAAACTTGATACCGAATTATGTGTGTCAATTTACTGGTCCGTATTGGAAAAGTAAACCACTGGTCGAAGGTGATTTGGGTATATACTACATAGACCATATTGTGAACTCCGATTGAAAGACACCCTGGGTATCTGTAAGAACAGGGCACCAGGTGTTTAGCCTCTGTGTTAAGGATATGTTTAGTGTACTCAGACGAATTTAATCGATGACGATGTCAAAACCTGGTCTGTTAAGCATCACTGGATTTTGAGGTCAAAGCGTTTGAGAGGACGATTCAGCTTCACTGTTGCTTATGTTCCGGTATGCTTCATTCATCGGTCGTCTAAATGTTGTACACAACATACATGTATGTCGAAACAGTTACCAACAACCTTCCCTACCTCTGACGCGAGTGTAGTAGTCCTCTGCTCCATTATAATAGCCGAGGAACGAGTCAAAGCCACGCATTGTAGGGGTGTATTTCCAGTTACAGAACCCGAGATGCCATCTGATAAAAACAACATAAATTTCATATTATTTTTACATACATACGTGGAAGTCGTAATAGAGGTAGCATGCCCCAGACATATTCATATTCCTACTTCACATGTTCCGTCTGTATATGATCGAATCTGGACCAGGCAAACCAGTAACGTCCGGCGCCAACCAGCCAATAAAATTGCACAATTCCAGTCTGATGAACTTACTAGTTTCATGGACGCATCGTGACGTCCCTACCCAGTCAGTTTAGGTCACATGTCATGTGAGCAGACCCTGCTTCAGATACCTTTTTACATGCTTACAATTGGAAATCTGATAACTCGTGTGATAATCTGATAACTAGTGTGATAATCTGATAACTCGTATGATCATCTGATAACTCGTATGATAATCTGATAACTAGTTTGATCACCTGATAACTAGTATGATAATCTGATAACTAGTTTGATCACCTGATAACTAGTATGATAATCTGATAACTAGTATGATAATCTGATAACTAGTATGATAATCTGATAACTAGTATGATAATCTGATAACTAAGTATGATAGTCTGATAACTAGTATGATAATCTGATAACTAGTATGATAATCTGATAACTAGTATGATAATCTGATAACTAGTATGATAATCTGATAACTAGTATGATAATCTGATAACTAGTATGATAATCTGATAACTAGTATGATAATCTGATAACTAGTATGATAATCTGATAATTAGTATGATAATCTGATAATTAGTGTGATAATCTGATAACTAGTATGATAATCTGATAATTAGTATGATCACCTGATAACTAGTATGATCATCTGATAACTAGTATGATCATCTGATAACTAGTATGATAATAACTAGTGCGATCATAACTGTATGATCATCTGATAACTAGTATGATAATCTGATAATTAGTGTGATAATCTGATAACTAGTATGATAATCTGATAACTAGTATGAAAGTCTGATTACTAGTATGATAATCTGATAATTAGTGTGATAATCTGATAACTGGTATGATAATCTGATAATTAGTATGATAATCTGATAATTAGTGTGATAATCTGATAACTAGTATGATAATCTGATAACTAGTATGAAAGTCTGATAACTAGTATGATAATCTGATAATTAGTGTGATAATCTGATAACTGGTATGATAATCTGATAATTAGTATGATAATCTGATAATTAGTGTGATAATGTTATAACTTGTATGATAGTCTGATAACTATAATGAGCAAAACTCAAAATTTGATACTCAGGATTTTCCGGAGTAACTTTTTAATATTTGGTTTAAGACATTAATTATAGTTGTATGCTGTGCACAGAACATCTTGACATCAACGGTAAACAAAAAAACAAGTCTCGCCGAACCTCTTTAACAACGACAACGTTCATGATGTCAAGGTACCCTCCAAAATGAAGTTTACAGCGTAAAAAAAATCAACTGAGGTCTTCAGATAAGGGTTGTGACTTCCTCTTGCGTCTCTTTCAGCCACACAACGTGTCCTCATGGAGCTTAGAACGCTAGTAAACAAACCCCGAGGAAGACGTCGCCATTGCTCAACAAGGTGACGTTGAAGATCTTGCAACGTCTCTGGTGGATTTACTTGCTGACGAACACGTGGACCCAAATCGTCCCAGATGTGTTAAATAGGATTGAGGTGGGGGCTACGCGACGGCCAATCCAGAACTTTAATCCCGGCATTTCGTAGAAAATTCTGTGTAAGAATTGCCGTATGCTGTCAATCGTTGTCTTGTTGGAACGTCCGTCTAGGGCCATGTCTCTGTATAAATGGGCAGCATTCCCTTGAACAACAACAACGGGATAACGTCCGTGTGCTCAAAACGGACCCATACCATTACACTTCACCACCAAATCTGTCCACGTCACGGACGCCGATTTAACCGTGACGCAGATTTAACCGTGACGTTCACCTCGCCTGTGGTACACTCCAGCCCTCAATGTGAATCGAGATTCGTCGGTGAAGACAACCGAATTCCACTGTCTTTGATTGAACCTTATGTGTCTTGTGGCCCAAACCAGTTGGTTGCAGTGATGAAGAGGCCTTGAAATTGGTCCTTTATGGGATCTTCGAAGTCTAGCGGCACGCAAGCGATTTGTGACAGTTTGTGCAGTTATCCTTCCTCCAAACATCTTCCTACTTGTGGAAGTTGCAGTAACAAATCTGTTCCGAAGATGACGTAGTCGTATTGCTTGATTGTGTACTACTGTTTCGTATACTTGAAAAAGAAATCTATCAGTGTCAAGTTTTCAATTTTGCTGAGTATAGTATTTTTTCACGCTGTGTTTGTATGTGAGTCGTGCAAGGCGCCGACATGTTCCTTAGTGGGACTATAGTCCGATGAACGAAGGTTCGAATCCCAGAATTGCTTACAAATATGTTGGTTAAGCCAGAACCAAGTTTCTCTCAAGAGGTAACAGACTAAACCAGCATCAGTTCGACCATTTCATAACGTGAAGCTTACATCAACTTACCTCACACACAAATGTCGTTTTGTGATTGGCTGAGCGCTCTTCTGTTATTTTCAATGTGCCCGCTTACCACCGAGTAACATTTTCCATGTTACCCGCTGGGAACGCCGAACTGTGGGAATTCATTTGGTACTTCCTGTTAGAAATTCTTTATTTCGAATAATTGAGTCACGTATGATGTACGGGAATTACCGATGTTTTGCGAATGCAAATTGTTGGAGGGGAGATAACTCTAAATTTGTTTTTCGTGTCTGTCGTCGGTATTGGCTAATTACCTAACTCTGGTACTCCTTATTATGAACCGATACCCGTGCTTCAAACATTTCAAAATTAACATTGAGGTGTTCGGTAAGATAAATACAGTGTTCAATGGTCCATCGGGGCTCATGGGTTGATGTACCCTCGTGACCAGTGAACATCTTATAGTGTAACTGAACCACTAACCGTGGTAAATAAACCCCACAACTTACTTGCCGACTGCATGTGTCGCATAGCCGAGTTCCTTCAGTTTCTGGGGCAGCATAGTAAAGTTGGCGGGTACATACCCCGGTATCAACGGGAAGATCACGTCATGCTGTATAAAATACATCCATCTCAAGAACGCAATCCCTGGTGTGCAAAACAATCATTGAAAAGGATCATTCATGTTTTTGTTTGTTATTTATTGCCGCATTCAGCATTAGTCCAACTATAAATGATCGAGTCTTAACCAGACAATCTAGTGATTGAGATCACTGGGCATGCATCATACGCTCCTGTGTATCAAGTCAGCTAACCTGACCACCCGGTAGTCGCCCCTCACGACAAGACCGAGTGATTGAAAATCACAGGGTTTCAACCATAATACCATTCTAAGAAATATGATCGCGATTTGGAACTTGGGTATAGTGAGTGTGTTTGGTTTTACGCCAATTTTAGCAACATTCCAGCAATATCACGGCAGGGGACACCAGAAATGGGCTTCACATACTGTGCCCATGTAGGGAATCAAACCCGGACCTTCGTCATGACGAGCGAACGCCTTCAACCACCAGGCTACACCACCGCCTCGGAACTGGGGAATAGGAGATCGGATAAAATTAAACAAACTAAACTGTAACCTGTACGTGGGTGTACAAACGTCATCTTGTCTGAGGACCGCTTTTGTCACACCGAGAGGAGAGGGGTGGGTGTGGAGAGTGATCAGTGAGTGACTGATTTACTTTGGTTGGACTGTTTGTTGTTTAACGCCGCAGTCAGCAATATTCCATCTATATGACGGTGGTCGGTTAATAATCGTTTCTGGACCAGACAATCCAGTGACTGACATCATAAGAATCATCTACGCAAATGGGATGCGATGGATACAATGAGTAAGTGAGTGACTCACCTGTAGCCCCGTGTGGTAGGGGTAATATCCAGTCATGAAGCAGTTTCGGGAACTGGAACAAAAAACACCACCACGATCAGTAGCACAACCAAATATGCCAAACTTTGTAAACCAGCCGATTTGATTGCAGAGGCCCGGAGGTATCATAGATATAAGATATGTATGTACGAAAACTATCATAGAACATGATGTTGTAGCTAGTCCTGCAAATGTTGTTTGTAATACTGTGCTCATATGTAAATTGTAATGAGATGTGGATGTGTGTTCTGTACGAACATGTCGTAACACACGCACTGTAGACACGGAGGAGTTCAGTATCAATCCTTGAGGGGCTACACTGTCGATGATGCGTAACATGACTTACGGTGAACACACGTACAGTACGTAATGGTTCAGTATCACTAGTACTCCTTCAAGGGCTACACTGTCGATGTATTGTAGCATGACTTACAGTGAACACACGTACTCAACGTAATGGTTCAGTATCACTACTTCAAGGGTTACACTGTCGATGTGTCGTAACATGACTTCCGGTGGACACACGTACTGTACGTAGGAGGAGTTCAGTATCACTCCCTCAAGGGCTAAAATATCGTTGCGTCGTAACATGACTTACGGTGAACACACGTACTATACGTATTAGGTGTTCACTATCACTCCCTGCCATGGGCTACACTGTCAATGTGTCGTCACATGACTTACGGTGAACACACGGACTGTACGTAGGTGGAGTTTAGTATAACTCCCTCAAGGGCTACACTGTCGATGTCGTAACATGACTTACGGTGAACACACGTACTGTACGTAGGTGGAGTTCAGTATCACTCCCTCAAGGGCTACACTGTCGATGTATCGTAACATGACTTACGGTGGACACACGGGCTGTACGTAGGAGGAGTTCAGTATCACTCCCTCAAGGTCTACACTGTCGATGTGTCGTAACATGACTTACGGTGAGTGAGTGAGTGAGTATTGTGTTACGCCGCTTTTAGCAATATTCCAGCAATATCACGGCGGGGGACACCAGAAATGACTTACGGTGAACACACGGGCTGTACGTAGGAGGAGTTCAGTATCACTCCCTGGCGGGCCAGACTGTCGATGTTTGGAGTTATCATCTGAGGGTTGTGAAATCCTACATCGTTCCATCCTGGTCAGAGAGATACAACTACAACATTGTGACACATATTTTTTTATTCCAGCATGTCTCCAGCAATAACCGATGACATTTAATCAAAGTGTCAGAGCACACGACGTAACATTTTCATTAAATCAAACAAATCGTTAGAATATAATTATATAAGCCCGCAGAGCTGTGGCATACGACACAAGGCTTACAGAGCTCCTTTGTATGATAAAAGCCTACAGTGATGACCAAAAACATGTAATTATACAGACTATTTTATCCGATATAAGTGTATAATGCCTAATCATATACAATATATGTCTGCAGAGCTGTAGCATACGACATAAGCCAACAGAGCTATCTTGTATGATAAAAGCCTACAGAGCTGGGTCAAAAATTGTATTAAATTAATATATATACATTGATATGTTATCCGATGCAGGCCTACAATGCCTAATTACACACTGTAAGCCTACGGGGCTGTGTTGTGCTATATAGGCCTACGGGTCTATATGCTGTGCTATGTAAGCCTACGGGGCTATATATAAGCTGTGCTATGTAACCAACGGAGCTATGTTGTGCTATATAAGCCTTCAGGGCTGTGTTGTGCTATATAAAGCCTACGGGGCTCTATAAGTCTATATGCCTAAACCAACGGGCTGTGTTGTGCTATAGATCTATAAGTCTACAGGGCTGTGCTGTGCTTTATAAGCTGGCCTACGGTGCTGTGTTGTGCGATAAACGATATAAGCTATAAAGCTATCTTATCAGATGCAAACCTACACGTCATTTCAGCCTATGAAGCAGTGTACGATTTAAGCCAACACAGAGCTGTGTTACGCGCCATATCACAGGAAGAGGTCGCTTGCACCGGAAAGCAGTAACGCGCTGAGAAGTCGATGTATAAAAATAACGCGACTTACCCAAATCATCCGCCACAATGAACACTATGTGGGGTGGTTGCACACTAGAGGTGGCGGGGACGACCCACAGAGTACAGACTACCACCAGCGACGCTACCAACCTCTCCATTGCAGAGTCTACAACATTCGCCGTATCTCTATCTGATTGACTGGAATACGAGTTAAATAGTCAATACCGTCCATCAGCTTGTCACATGCCAGTTACTAATACTATCACGTGATGTGGAAGAGTGCATCTAGAATTTCTGTAAGCATGAGAAGGTAGTGTTTCGGTGATCGGTTCGGTGATCAAGTGGCTGAAGAGGAAGGTGTCTTTAAAAGCCGGGAAAGAAAGTCCAGCCGGGTCAATGGGTGATTCAAAAATATGCTATTGAAACGAAACACGTTAGAGCTTATCATCTTAGCGTATCCCAGTTGTTCGCTACAATCGTGTTCAAAAACGAAAGTCTAGAGTACAAACAATGCTATACTTAACCGCATATGTGAAATCACGTATGTTGACATTTTGTGAGCTGGTGTTATATTCATTATGACAGCTAAACCTACACACAGAAAATACCCAATTTATTCATTTGTGATGTATTTCAGGATCAGGATAGGCGTACTGTACGATGTTAACATACACAAAACTCGTTGTAAAGGTACCTTAGCTCTTATCGTTACTTGTTTGTGGTTTAAATTCACAGCTGCGTGCGACACTCAATTATTACTCCTGAAGGGCTACACTGTCGATGTGTCGTAACATGACTTACGGTGAACACACGTACTGTACGTAGGAGGAGCTCAGTATCACTCCCTCAAGGGTTACACTGTCGATATGTGGTATCATGACTTACGGTGAACACACGTACTGTACCTGGGAGGAGCTCAGTATCACTCCTTGAAGGAATACACTGTCGATGTGTCGTAACATGACTTACGGTGAACACACGTACTGTACCTGGGAGGAGCTCGGTATCACTCCTTGAAGGAATACACTGTCGATGTGTCGTAACATGACTTACGGTGAACACACGTACTGTACGTAGGAGGAGCTCAGTATCACTCCCTCAAGGGTTACACTGTCGATATGTGGTAACATGACTTACGGTGAACACACGTACTGTACCTGGGAGGAGCTCAGTATCACTCCTTGAAGGAATACACTGTCGATGTGTCGTAACATGACTTACGGTGAACACACGTACTGTACGTAGGAGGAGCTCAGTATCACTCCCTCAAGGGTTACACTGTCGATATGTGGTAACATGACTTACGGTGAACACACGTACTGTACGTAGGAGGAGTTCAGTATCACTCCCTCAAGGGTTACACTGTCGATGTGCGGTAACATGACTTACTGGGACACCAGAAATGGGCTTCACACATTGTGCCCATGTGGGGAATCGAACCCGGGTCTTCGGCGTAACATAAACAAAACTCGTTGTAAAGGTACTTTAGCTCTTATCGTTACTTGTTTGTGGTTTAAATTCACAGCTGCATGCGACACGTAGACATTTATCAGGTGTTTATATTACTACTTATCTCAACACCCAGGTCTTTTGGACTTTCTTTATTAATGTTCGTCCCGAAAAGACGATATGTGAGCTCGCCCCATCCATTCAAGAGTGTGTAAGGCTTCAGTCAGTTACCGAACAATGGTTATCTTTTAACGTAGTGAGTGAGTGAGTGAGTAAATGTGTCAACTTAAATTAACTTGACTTTTAAACTCTCAGTTACATGTATATCCAGGTTTCAGGTTTCTGCGGGTGTGGGATCTGTCCCACATTTTACATATGTGTATATAAACGGTTGCATATTTAACTGTTGCCTCTCATAACAAGCAAAGCCGCTGTATAAAACAGGCATGGGCTACCGAAAGCTCCCGAATGCCAATTCTAACCCAACTCTGCATGGGTCATTACACTTGATATATTTTCTGGATAATATTGATCTGTTTAATATATTCAATGTTCACATTGATGAGTCATACAGTACATTCATCTGCCGCCATAGAAAAAACATGTTCGAAGTCAGGTGTCCCCGGATCATGTACAATTTATTACATAATTCAGGATATTTCATTCGTGTCTGTTTGTAAAATAGTCGCGTGAGTCGTTTGTTTCATGTGTTTGAGAAAGGTGAAATGTTTGATTGGTCAATTAAGATACCCCACGTGACAATTATGTGAAGAGAGCCATCTTGAATAATCATTTGCGTAAGAAGGGGAATTCCGGGGGAGTCTGTTCCACTCTTGCTGAGCATAGCGGCGGGCTACACATGACGTTGACGTTTACCTATCATGTCCAAGAGGTGTTCAAAATAGGGAAAGGTCTGAGTTATCATTGTATTCCATAATCGTTGTACTGCTGGAGGCGCGCTGTGCAGTGGGAACTGGCGTTGTGGTTCTGAACGCCGACTCAACTTACAAAGGGAACAACAAAGGGTGCCTGTACGCTGTCCCGACAGTACAGTCCAATGATCCTTCCTTGCACCATAACCAACCCACCGCCAAATCTTCCATCAGGTGTCAGCTTGATCATTGACGTTCACGTCAACGTCGCCAAACAAGATCATAGTGCCGTGGTACAAAACCTCAGCGCTAAGACAGCGTAACTCTGTGTTAAGGTATGGGAGTTACGGTCACCTTTGTACAACGGCCCCCGTGCCTTTTAGAAAGTGCAAAGCGACACGAGACTTGGGATTACGACAATATGGACGTTGTCTGTTGGCAATATGGCGGCTTGTCAGTGGCGTCAACACGTTATTACCGAGGATGGAAATAAGCTGCATGTAATCATATGACCTTTAGCTCAGAAGATTGATGAAAGCCTACAGCAACTCGCTTTGCTCTTCGTGACTGGTTTCCTATCTATCAATCGATCCTCTATTCACGTGGTTGACCTTGGACACCTGGACGGGATCGATCGTCAACACACTGTGGAAACCTGTTGCATTGTCTGATAATCCATTTATTCGTCGACTGTCATCAGAAGAGTCAAAATCAGAAACGACACTCTGTGCAGTGTGGCGCTAAGGCGTGTTGTAACCATAGTGTACTGGGGGTACGTATTCAAAGTAATTCATGTTAAGGTCAACGGTTGCCAACAGGTACATACTTTGTAACATCATTCCTCTATATTGACAGATGTAAATATCAACTTATGAAGTACAAATAACACTCCTAGATCAGTCTCAGAAATCTTATCCACACAATCAGAAAAAACACTTCAAGACATGGATATATGGATATATCTGGATAGAGCTGTATTGTTTCCACAATATTGTACTTTGGTACTTCAACAAATAAAACGCCTTCCTATGATTGTCCACATGTTCGTCTGATTATCTATATTGAAGAAATTAACGTGTGCCCTTTGGACTTAATACATATTTCATAACTGAGCTTGCCCTAACCATTCTGCAGTAAATACAGACGAATACAAGGCTATATTTGGGATAAGGTCTTCTCAGTAAAATACAGAGTCTTATACTGTTAGTGTAAGGATGTTTGAACCCATTTCTGGTTTCCCCCGACGTGCAATTGCTGGAATATTGCTAAAAGCGGCGTAAAACTAAACTCACTCACTCAGAGTAAGACGTCAGCACACCGAGTCAGCGACCTAACCAACTATTCTTACCGTGCCATATGTACACGCAAGCTGACTCGGAGAGGTAGGTGGCGAGAGGCAGTATGAGCTATAAAGTGAAATGAGTGAGTATGGTTTCACGCCGCTTTTAGCAATATCCCAGCAATATCACGGCGGGGGACACCAGAAATGGGCTTCACACATTGTACCCATGTTGGGAATCGAACCCTGGGCTTCTGTGCGATGAGCCATCGCTTTAACCACTAGGCTACCCCACTGCCCCATATGCTATTAAAACAAACTGGTAACGAGACACAACTAAATCTCCAATCTTTATTCTTAATAGTATGATAGTAATGGACACATAATACAACATACACTACAACTAGAGGCAAGCGGCCACATCCACGTTGACAATATTCCACACCGGTAAGGCACTATAATAGAATCACAGACGTCAGGTTTTAAGGGGCGCTTTGGCCTCTTTACATACACAGAAACAACCTGGTTATAATGCCACCGGTTATAATGCCATCTTTATCTTAAAACGGATTTCTGCAAAAATATATAATTATCTTTTCATAATGCCAACCTGGTCATAATGCAAGGCTATGACCATGCACGCTAAAGCCTCGCCTGTTAAGAGGCCATCATGCATATTATACAATGCCTCTGGTGGTATATTAAGTGTTTATGCTCAACTAAACCACCAGGGCCGCAGTACCCGTGGTGTTGCAAACATGTTCAAAGAATAATTGAGTTGGGTTTTACTCTGCCTTTAGCAATATTCGGGGACACCAGAAATGGGCTTCACACATTATACCTATGGGGTGAATCAAACCCGGGCGTGACGAGCGAACGCTTAACCACGAGGCTACCCCACCGCCCCGTTCAAAGAATAAGCTACAAGACGTTTATTAGTGGAAATACGGTAGGTTATTTCGATACCTCACAGGTACTCCTGCACTGACATCACACAACCCTATCTCAAGTTATCACAGATATAAAGACTTGGTGTGAAAACTTCGTTGCTTGGTTGCACAGTACCGCACACCCTTAACACTGTGTTACCGGGAACGAGTGAAAACGGCCTATGGTCAAAACGGATACACCAAAATGGCGGTTGGCCACAAGTATCTCCACGAAAATGTGTTCAACAGTGACACCTGTTCTTGTTGTGTCTACTTCTGTAATACACTAACATGCTTTGAAACTGCACTGACTGTCTTGATCTCAAGATAAACCTGTTTGTGGAAACTGTATTTTGGTGTTCGGCCATTTTGACTTTATCGCGGCCATTTTGACGTTTTATGGCAGTATGTAAATACAGAGACCATAAAATATCACATGGTCTCTGGTAGGTGTTTCTAATGTGGGAAGAAAACCCTAAGTGATGTATGTCTGTGACGTTTCCCACTTTGGCCAAACCCATCACAACCCTAGACACATGGTGGTGTGAACCCAATAGTTTGAGCACAAGACATAACATTTAGACTCTTTTCTCCAACTAAGGATGGATACATTCAATATAACACAAAAGAACAAAATAGAAAATAACTGTTTGTAAAGAACTGCCCTATTTCAAAAGTATGCCATTAAAGTATTGATATGGTGTATCGTAACATGTATAACAGACAATGCCCAACTGTCAGTATTGCACATGCCCCACTATTGACAGCTGCCGTATGTATGAGCCTTGTCAGATCGTTAAGATAGGTTTCAACTCATGTTACCTACCTAGTTTCAAATACTAGTAATTCCGGTTACCATGGTTACAAGGATCTCCAGGGGTTCGGACCCACCACCCCCATCCCCCTTTTGAAAATGACTTAAGACCACAGTGAAGATTTTTATTTGCGTTGGCGGAGCCAATGAAATAAATGTATTATTTGATCCCTTAGTCCGCCCATGCCAGACACAGACTGGACTGGTTCTAGATGTCACCCACCCTGAAACAATAAATGTTATTATCCCTGCACCCAACAACCAATCGCCCATCAACTACAACAGGAGAGGAGAAGACTTCTCCAGGTAGAAGTGTATTGTCCAGCTGCTGTCCGGTGGTCACACAGAGAGCAGTCAGGTTGCCACTTGTGGAGGCCACATACACCACACCTCCACTAGTCGGACATCTTGCTGGGGATGCTGTAGGACATTCTCGGGACAAGCACCTGCTTCGTCCACACCCACAGCATTCCCTGGCTGCAGTCTCCTTGGTACATACATCCAGTGAGGATGTGTCATGAATAGCACCAGACTTGGACATATCTGATAAGAATGTACCTACAACAGGACCAGACCGTGACATCTCTGGTAAGGAGTCTGAAGAGCCTTGAGAACCTTGACAATGACATGGATGGACGTGGGCAGATGGAGGGTTGGATTCATGTGGAATGTTTTGTATCTGGGCCCGCTGCTGTGTTGAATCACTATGCACTGAGATATTTGAGTCAAAAGGCAGCTGTCCTTTTGGAAGACATATCAAATGCTGATCAATTTGATCTGATATCTGCTGAGAGGTAGGAGGGGTATTTTGGTTATTGTCGGTAGATTTTCCATCATGAAGACAAAGATTCAATCCAGAACCTTTCCCTTGAGGATCAGCTGCAGCTGAGGCAGTTTTAGACAATGGAGGATGGAACTTTGAGGAATGATCCAGTCCTAGGTTTGGCCATGATGCAATGAATGACATTTCTGAGTTTGTGGATGGTTCAAGAAGCTTTTGATGATACTGAGCATGACACAAATCATGTTCATACACCCGGACTTCTTTCAAGTGAGAAGCACTGTCAATGTGATATCTCTGCTTCTTGACACATGGTTCTTCCTTTGTGCTGAGGAAAGTTTTGTGCTTTAGGGAACTACATGTAACACAGTCCACTGAGCTGATCCTTGCGACGCTGTACAAACCCTGTTTATATGGCATTAGCTTACAGTCATTACATTTGTGTCTGTGAAGGGAACATTTACAAAACACACGTGTCAGTTTGCTTTGATCTACCAAAAGATGTTTTACAGAATCGGCCAGTTTTGAATCTGAGCTGAAAGTCAGATGCTGTGTTGCTGTGGGCAAAGCTATTCCATTAGACAGCTCTGTCTGATAATGAAGTTCCTCTTCCAAAGATGTCCCTCTGGAGGCCAGCCTTCCCTTCCTCTGAGCCGACACCTGTGGGGCTCCCTGGTGCCAGACAAATGGCGTGGTGTATATGGCTGATTCTGCTGCCCAGCACCATAGCTTCTTCCCGGTCATAGTGAGGCAGTATAGGTGCTTGTCATGAGATCCAACCAACACCACGTCCTCCGGTTCACTTGAGGTACATGTGGGGACCAGGGATGGAGTAATGACCAGTGGTGAGGAAAACACTGGGCCATCAGTGGAGAAAGTCCAAGTCTGTGACAACGATACAAAAAAACTTCATCACTGTCAGTACATTCAAAGGCAAACATGTCTTTCAGCAATGCATGTGACGCAATTTGGTATAATTGTTACCTGTATCAAGGTAAGGATGCAAAAGCTTTGGCTCATCAATTTTACCATATTACATTCAAGAGCAATAAACCTAAATTTGCAATTAAATCATAAATAAGAGATTCATTTGCACATTCCTTGTAGATTCACGAGAATTTATTTTAAAAAAGCAATATTACATTCAGCGTATTAATATTTCACAATTGTTACCTTGTCGCCGTGATGGTTGAAACACAAAATGCTACCATCCACACAACCAACTATAACACTACTGTAGTTCTCTGCTGGAGAGGAAAAGATGGGTTTCGTTGTGTCCCTGGACCACAGCACTTCACCTGTATCCTGTTCAGGAAAACAATGAAAATGTCAGTTACCATACTTCGAAACCATTCCCAGCCTGCTGTGATGATATTAAACACTGGTCATCACATTAGAATAGCATGACAATACAGGGTGCCATAGAAGATAATACTGGGTCGAGCAGGATAACACAGGGTTAGGTTGAAGATACAAGATCAGATGTGGATAACATGAGGTCAGGTGTGGCAGAACAAAGGACCAGGTGTGGGATAAACAGATGACTAGGTGTGGGATAACACAGGATCTCACATGGGATAACACATGATCAGGTGTAGAATAACAAGGTCAGTGTGGGATAACATGGGGTTAAATGTGGGATAACAAAGGATCAGGTATGGGCTAACACAGGATCAGGCATGGAATAACAAGGTCGTGTGGGATAACACAATGTCATGTGTGGGATAACAAAGGATCAGGAGTGGGATAACACAAGGTCAAGTGTAATACCACAGAATGAGTTGAAGGATATGACACGGTCAGCTAAAGGATAACACACAGTCAGCTAAAGAAAGACACAGGGTCTGTTGAAGAAAAGCTACACTCACAGGGTTGACAGCATGTAGGTTTGAGCCGAGGGTGCCCACATAGACATGGCGATGATGGCGACTGACACAGGGAGAGGAGAACACGCTGCCAGTACCAAGACTCCGCCTCCAGACACACCTCTGCTTCTGTAACACCATCACATCACACACAATGATTTTCCATACAATCAGACCTGAACAAGGAACAGAATCCATTATCCACTGAAAAACAGGAATTTGTTTGATTGTATTATATCAGTTCCAACATGTCAGAGAGAGTTATATGTTTATATGCAACCTGTTTTATCTTCTGCAATCTTACATTGATATCCACTGAATGTAGGCAGCCATCATGCGAGCCAATGATGATATGCGAGGTCATGGGGTCAAGGGTCGGAGAGCTCTTGACGCAGCCACCTGTTTTATATGTCCACTTGATATCACCTGACACTGCACATAGCATGTATACACAGTTGTCATAGCAACCTAGAAGAAACAAGGTCACAATGGTTAAAATTTTAAGGTCAATGTCAGGGAGCTATGAGTGAGTGACTTGTATTGGGTTTAATGCCATTTTAAACACTATCTCAGTAATAACAGGGTCTAATGGGGAAAAGAGTCTAAAGTGTTGCAAGTTGAAGACAGTTGCCATTTCTGTGAAATGCAGACACAAATGGATATATTTCTGCAAAACCTGGAAACACTACTTGGGCATACTGGGTTTTGCAGGCCTCAGACATTTGCCAATTCTGTGAAATGCAGACACAAATGGACATATTTCTGCGAAACCTGGAAACACTATTTGGGCATACTGGGTTTTGCAGGTCTCAGATACTTGCCATTTCTGTGAAAAGCAGACACAAAAGGATATATCTCTGCAAAACCTGGAAACACTACAGGGGCATACTGCGTTTTGAACTCAGAGTCATCAAATTATGATGTGTCTAAGGGATGCAACTCTTCACAGGGCACTTCAGCACCGTCACACCTACCCCTTGGAGTTGTACTATATATGGAGACTACCAAAACGATTTTTATCGCATTCACAAGTACAACAAGGTGCAGTGAGCGGGTCAGTTTAGTTTTATGCTGCTTTTAGCATATTTCAACAATATCACAGCGGGGGATGCCAGAAAAGAGCTTCACATACTGATCTTAGCGCTACGATAGTCGTAAGTCTATGTTTAAGTATGGGAGTTAAGATCATCTTAGCGCTACGATAGTTGTAAGTCTATGTTTAAGTATGGGAGTTACGATCATCTTAGCGCTACGATAGTCGTAAGTCTATGTTTAAGTATGGGAGTTACGATCATCTTAGAGCTACGATAGTTGTAAGTCTATGTTTAAGTATGGGAGTTACGATCATCTTAGCGCTAGGATAGTCGTAAGTCTATGTTTAAGTATGGGAGTTACGATCATCTTAGAGCTACGATATTTGTAAGTCTATGTTTAAGTATGGGAGTTACGATCATCTTAGCGCTACAATAACTTTGTGGAACGGGGCCCAGGATAGAAGTACATGACAGTACTGACACGTCCCTGCTGCACACCTCAAGGAGCTGCTTATGGATAGCTAAAATCCCTAATGTTCAAAGGGGCTATTTTCTGGGTTCTTGCACTCGCATGTCAGTGTAATGAAACTAACCATGATCTTACTCATTTGTCAAATTCAATCAAATCTGAAGCTCCACCTACCTACAACTACCCATCGTCCACACTGGCTGAGACAGGCTGAGGACTCCACACGGTCACCGAGTCGCGTCCGCCACAACTCACAACCAGTTGTCAGGTCTATAGCACACATCAAGTACGAGTGGGAACCGATGTACACAACATGGCTGCCAGAGCTGGAAAAGACACTAACACTGAAGTCTGGGGAAACACAAAGCAGTATGAACATACAGAGTTACATATGTCTTCCTTTAAGCATAAATTAGGTTACCCTTCAAACTATCTGAATCATCAGAAAGCTGTAACACAGGATTAGTTCAATCAGAATACTAAACAGAAGACTTGTTTCAGATCAAACCACATTGTTCAACAGTTTCCTGGGTCAAACTGATGCAGGAAGCCAAATCAATATCACAATGTTGTTAAACTATATTTGAGGTAACAGCATCTACATTATTATAAACTTTAAAAATTATCACATTTGACATTTTCACAGTTCAAGAGGGTATCATGAATCTTCGAAAAATACTAAACCTTTAGAAAGGATAATTCATCATATATAAATTATACAGTGAGTGAGTTACAAAGGAGCATCTGTGTGAAGTAACAGCTATAGGGCATGATGAACCACCACCCAATGGGACATGTAAGGTCTAAAGCCTCACCTGCTGACTGCCACCAGAGGAGAAGCATCCACACACTTCTCAGTGTCATACTTCCAACACAAGGACATTGACACACGATCCTGATCACCTCCTGCATGTCTTGAATCTACTCCATCCACCAACACACCATCCTTTTCTCCTGCTGATACCTGCTCACTCAATACTCGATCCAGCTCATCATCTGAACATTTTGTCACACGATCCTGAAGGTAATCTGTAAGACCTGTGTCTACACTGGCCATTGATAACCTAACTGGAACTGACGAGGAGGCAGCAGCTGTTCCCTGATATCTACTGCCTCGAGAAACAGATCCAGCAAACTTAAGCACATGCTCTGTCAAACAGTTTTCACTCTCAAGGTTCATCTGGCTATTTGAGCCATCATGGACACCTTCCATAACATCATCTGATACAGGCTCACTCCCATCAGGATGAGCAGGTGTTGCTGGAACTGCTTGAAGTGGATCTCTCTGCTCCTCTACAGATACAGTGGCTTCATCTTGGCTCTGTTTAGTTGCTGGACCAGCTTCAGGATGATCCCTCTTCCCCTCTCCACATACAGAAGCTTCATGTTGGCCCTGGATGGTTGTTGGTAGGGCTTCACGATCCTCACGTTTTCTCTCTACAGATAGAGAAGCTTCATATTGGCCCTGGATGGTTGTTGGTAGAGCTTTAAGATCCTCAACCTTCCCTCTACAGATACAGAAGTTTCATCTTGGCTCTGGACATTTGCCATCATCTGCTGGACATGCTGGACAAAGTCAAGGAAAGCCTTATTGAGGACAGTGTCCAGAAGCAAGGTGCTTTGTTCCCCCAGTTTGTCCTCTACCATGTTAACCAGACGGACTGCCTGGAGGGAGTTCCCCCAGAGCCAGAAACTCATCCACATCCAGCACATCTCTGCACCGTTCTGGTAGATGGGCCTGGAAACAGAAAAGGCTTTCTTAAACACATTCCATTCACCAGACACTTCTACAGAAAGAAAATAAAATTTCCAAAATTTAATATAAAATTTCATAAAAAGTAAAACATATACTGCTCATTGGAAGTTCTTACAACCTGAAGAAGAATAAAAATATGCTTTTGCACAATTCATTGTATTCATTTTGACCAGTAACACAAACTAAACATGGCTTTATGAATCTTATAATCCTTATAAAGGTAGACATATTGTAAAAGCTATCATATTTTCATAAGAAAATGAGAACTAGGATCATCACAATTATGGACATCTAAACACATACTGTCCCATCATGCCTAGCACTTATCACTAATGTTATAGTAATTTCACTCCATGAAGTCATGTTTAATACTTGAGTCTAAAATATAATACTCTATTGATGTGTATGTGAGCAGCTGGACTTTCTGTTCTGTGCCACACTGACAGACAGTAGGGCTGGCTATCAAAGATCAAAGAGATGATAACTGTTCACTAAATATTGATTGATTATTGATAAATACCTGAGAAAATATCAGATGAAAGAAATCAACATATTCCACATCAGTGGTGAGTGGTGACATACTTAGACATGGTCGGATTACTAACTAAACATCATCCTGAACATAATTCAAGAGCAACAAATAAATAAAAACTAATCTTTGTGCATTGTCCAAGTAAATTAAAACTTTATTTCATCACAATAGTTCATGCAAGATATTATCGATGACTCGATACTCATATTGATAATCATTATATTTTTTCCAGTCAACAATATTTCCTATTATCAATCAATTTTAGCCATCAATACAAGACAGTGTAGAGCTTCCCTGCTTCCCCACCTGCCAGAGACTGTTGCACCAGTGTCGGACATCGGTCAGCAGTGTGGGTGACCTGATGATCTCCTCCTCCCACATCCTTGCCAGCAACTTGGTATCAGTCTTCCCTGACAACAAATAACAACAGCTGAACACTCACAGACTTCTACCTGATATTATCAAATACTTACAGAATGTCACAATATGTGATGCCAATTACTGAGTGACTAGTTAACTAGCCCTGGGTCTAGCTAATAGGAGTGGTAGCCTAATGATTAAAGCGTCTGCTCGTCACACTTAAGACCCGAGTTCAATTCCCCACATGGGTACATTCAGTGAAGCCGATTTCTGGTATCCTCCGCTGTGATATTGCTGGAATATTGCTAAAAGCGGTATAAAACCATACTCACTCACTCTCTGAGCCATTATTAGAGAAACATTTGCTCCAAGTTTCATACAGTCCCACTGAAAACAACTACTTCTTTGTCAAGTGAGTTAGATATAATGTCAAGTTGATAGATGGTCAGTTATATCACAGCGTGTGAGTCTGGTGTGAGGGGGAAGCTTAAAGTGATGCAGATTGTACATGTCTATCATACCAGAGAAACCGATGTTCAAGGGTAACACTACCACACAAAATGGATTCCTGACCCTAAAAATGCAAAATGAAAATTTGTAAGTATGCAAAAGTAGCTTGGAAATTTAGGTAATAAGACAACATTAGAAAATATATTTTACAGTCTTAAGTCAAGTAAATGTCAACAGCAACCAATATTTTTCTTAAGAGGTGACTAACAGGATTAAGTGGTCAGATTTGCTGACTTGGTTGAAGCATGTCATCATGTCCGAACTGCGTACATCTAGGTCCATGATGTCAATCACGGGATTGTCTGATCCAGACTCGATTATATATACCGGTAGCTGGAAAGTTGCAGTAAACAAAAAACAGAAATCTAATAAGAATGATAACAACTATTAAGATATCTATACTTGGAATTACATAACAAGTTCAGTCAGTATCAGTTCCAACCAGCTTCCACTAGAAGCCCATCACTAGTTCTATGTGAGTCAGTCATTGTACTCACCATGTTTAGTGAGAGGAATCTGGTCCACCAGCATCACCTGGTCTGGCTGATAGTGAGGTGGTAGCATCTCCTGTAAATGTGATGTGACCGCCATCTTGAGTGATGCATGCTGGGCGTCTTCACAAGGGGCCTCAGACACAACAAACAGCAGCAGACGATCAGCAAGGGAGAGAACTCTACTGTCCATGATTCCTGGTAGCTGTTGAACAGCCTGTGATGAAAGTTCACATTCAGAATGAAACAACCATGAAGGGGAAGTGACATTGGGTTTTATATTGTGTTCAACATTTTTGCATGAGTAGAGCTACCTGCACCAACCTTCTCCCCTCAGAAATCTCAAATCTCTTATTATCTTCACAAAGTTTACTCCATGCGTAATGAAATTTGATACAACAAAAGAAATTGTTAAAACAAAAGCACAACCCTGTACTACATTTGCAAAAACATGCTTGCTTACATTTACGTTACAGCCTAATGGAGAGCAAACTCAGACAAACCAATAAGACAAATTCTATTTGGGATGACACTTTTTTAGTATATGCCATTGTGTATTCCAATTTTCAGATAATTTGATGCATAATGGAGTCAGTGATGAATTTGATGCATGTCATGGAGTGAGTGAGTGAGTGAGTGAGTGAGTGAGCAAGCAAGTACAGTTTTGCACCACTATTGGCACTATTCCAACAATATTACAGCAAGGGACACTACAAACAGGCTTCCCACATATTGTAAGTGACCCAGGCCTCACCATTACAAGTGAACACTTTAACTACTAGAATAAATCAAATACAGTGACTTACATGCTGTATAGCTGCTGTGTTCAACCTCTTGCCATGCCGCTTGATCTGATCATCAAGGCGACCAATATATATAATGGTGTTATCGTCCTGGACACATACAATATCCCCTGTGTCTCGCCACACGGGAGACTCTCCATAACAGCTTCCGTCTCATCATTCAGGAGACATACTCGCTCACGGCTGCCTGCAATGGGAAATTTTCCTCCTTAAATAAACCAAAAATTTAGCAAAAGGTAAGAAAACATTCTGTCAGTTCCTGGACTTATGCCTAGTTCATTTAGGACAACACATTTTAAGGCAAAAACAGGTAGTCTCAAAGGGTTCCTATGGCAACATAATTTTGCAAGAAACAATCACAAATCATTAAGCATAGTTCATGCAGTGACATGATTTAAGGTTGTATCACATGGATAACTATATTGGCAGTGCGTTGATTTTATTAGGTTTACAGTCTTATAAACATCTGACAACCCGAACAATTTGATATATCAAAGGCAATGAGGTTTGATGCATTGTGGTTCTTTGTGGAAAGGGTAGGAACCTGGTTCCCGATCCACGAAGCATTCGTATTATTACGACCTGTCATAACTCTATAGTTTATTATAGGCTTACGAAAGTCGTAGTGCTACGAACGCTTTGTGAAACAGGACCCAGGACTAGAGCAGGACCATAGCGACACAGATCTACCAACAGTATGTGTAATGTGAGATAGCCTCCTCCTTCTTCAGTTGTGCACCTACCTATCTGCAGTCTCCCCTCTCCGCTGGTCACCTGACGACCTTCACTGTCAATGACCTTCACCTCTGTTCCATCAAGAACAGAACCCAGTGGAATATCTCCTTCACCATGCCTTTAAAACATAATTAATTTACATCTGTATTCTGTGAGGTATTTAGGAAACACAAAAAAGAAAAACAAATAGCTTTACTTGTTTAACTCACAGAAACTCAACATTATTCAAGTCTATATATTTCTCTAACATGGTTTATCTATGACAAAGTCCAACTATCAGAGCAAAAACAATTCAGAAAACTGACAATATATGGGACTAAACAGACAACTGACAATACTCACTCAAAATACAGTAAACTATGATTATGGGACCATCAATTTTAGTTTGTTTATGGGACCACCAATTTTAGTTAGTTAGACATTTCACTGAAACTATAGAGCAAATAGCCGTAACCAAACAAACAGTTCATTACATCAGACTGTTCATTATAAGCATGTTATAAACATAGGGCTTAAACCGACCAACACTTACTCAAGAAATGTGGACTTAAACTGGAAGCATGTGGCCCAGCAGGACACTTCGGTCACTCCATACAGGTTGTAGAAGGTGGTTTGACAGTCAGGGGCCATGGCTGACCGAAGGATGTCCCTGGTGGGCAGATTCTCCCCTCCCAGCGCCAGGATCCGAACACTTGACCCCCGACTCAGAAGTGTGGTTCTCAGAACCGACGGGCCAAACCTCAACAATAATGATGGCGTCATCTGCAATACAAGATAAATAATGAGTCATAATGATAGACAGAGGTGCATGTTGAAAGTGTTATCATCACTATCCTGCTCAGTGAATCAGTGGACACTAGACATCCATTCCCAGGTCCCTGAAGAGTAAAAAGCTGCCAAACTGTAGCCATATGGCAGTGTAATTTATCCTCCAATAATGGCTGTAATTGTTCTTCTGTTAAGATACAGGAGAAGCACAGACCATTATATTTTAAAAATAATTAGTTGTATTTAGGATAATTAAAATGTATTACTATCTAACTTATGCAGTGGTACAGAAGTTGATAGATTTTGATGCTTTGGAACAGAAACCTAGAACATTATACAATATAATTGTTAAATTAATACTTCATTGTTGTTTGATGGTTTCACAAGGAATTCTTTTATGCAATTTTGTGGTTTAACATTTTGTTTCAATTTATAATTGACAAATAACAGCGGTCTCTCATCCGACCGCTCATCATGGACTACACCTGACCTGTGACCTGTGCTAGGTATAATCATGATAAGAAGCAGATGTGTGTTGGATTGTCCGGCGTCAACAAAACACATGTAAATATATCTTTGCACTACTGGAGACAAGTTCTGACAATCATGTCACCTTGAACATCACCCTGCACCCTGCCCCCTGCCAACCATCCATGGATAACATGTACTCCAAAGACATTACCACATTGTCAACACTGAAGGACCTCTCCTACAACATATGTACGTGATCAGGTTTACCTGTAGCACTGACACACTGTTCCTGTGGTACAGAATCTCCAGCAACTTCTTTGGTGAGGATTTCACTTCATTGTTGGTGATAAGCAGGGTTGCACCTGAGGTCAAGGTCACAAAGATCTCTACTATGCTTGGGTCAAAGGTCAAAGGTGATGCAAGAAAACAAAGGTCCTCTGAGGTCAGCTTAAAATGTTCCTGTAGTAAAACAATACGAGTTGAATCATATTGAAGGCTTTTTGTACCTGTGATGAATATAATACAGTATATCCTAACTGAGATGACATAAACAGTATATCTTACCTGCGTAGCTATCTAACAGAGTTTACCTGCAACCATATGTGGAATTTGATACCAAATCATTAACTCGTTTAATAAACATGGTATTACGAGGAAGGTTGTTTAGAATCCTCTATCATATAGCTATAAGAGATGATATATACATTATATCATATAGCTATAAGAGATGATATATACAGTATATCATATAGCTATAAGAGATGATATATACAGTATATATATATAGAGATGATATATACAGATATATATACACAGTATACAGTCATATTAATACACAGCTTATTGTACAGTTACCTGAGATGTTGAATGTTGGGCACGATGCAGCTGTGTGGGACGCGGACCACCTTCGGAACACTAGTTGTCCCGGACGTGGTGATGCAGTATGCTAATGAGTTGGCTTGTGGGCATGGCGAGATATCCTGCAGTGACATATAACCACATCATTCAGAGATGATATATACAGGATATGATTCTCAATACCAGTATAACCTGAGATGTTGAATGTTGGGCACGATGCAGCTGTGTGGGACGCGGACCACCTTCGGAACACTAGTTGTCCCGGACGGGTGATGCAGTATGCTAATGAGTTGGCTTGTGGGCGTGCCGAGATATCCTGCAGTGACACGAGAACAAGGCCAAGCTCAAACAGCTCCATACAGGGTACCACGGCTCCACGCAGGGTGTTGGTCACATCTTCCAGTCTCTGCATAACAATAATCAATCCATATGTATCACAGAGTTCTGTATTGTTCACTAGACACATATTAGACTAGTCAAAGGATCGGTGTGCAGAGAAAATGATTCTCAATACCAGTATGTATATAAAACAAACAGGTTTGGCATTCAATAACAATTTTATCAACCAGGAACCAATTGTTGTCACTTGAAAACATCAGTCATTTCAAAAATTCATGATTCAACATGGGCATGTGGGAAGCACAAGAAACTCTCAGGAGTTAAGCTTGCTGAGAGCTGTCAGGTATCAGCCTAATGTATACCATTAGCAATGCTTAGCTTCACCTGACACTGTCATCTCAACCAGTTTGTATTTAACTAGATAATTTATCTACCATAATTTACAATATGATTAGATCTAAAGACACTATGCAGCGAGATAGAATCTTGTCTTTGTGGTAGACAATCGGATAATGTGGGGCTGAATGGTCCCTCCATCCATGGCAGTGCAGAAGCCTAGCAAGAAATGCAGTAACGCCATGGTAAAGGACCGTTCATAATTTATGGCTAGGAGTGAGTGAGTCAGTTTAGTTTTACATCGCACTCAGCAATATTCCAGCTATGGCGGCGGTCTGTAAATAATCAAATCTGGACCAGACAATCCAGTGATCAACAGCATGAGCATCGATCTGCGCAATTGGGAACCGATGACATGTGTCAACCAAGTCAGCGAGCCTGATCACCCGATCCCGTTAGTCGCCATTTACGACAAGCATAGTCGCCTTTTGTGGCAAGCATGGGTTGCTGAAGACCTATTCTACCCCGGATCTTCACGGGTCTTATGGCTAGGAGGGTGATGATGATTTTTATGGCGAAGCATGTACAATGTGAATGACCCCCAACCCCCTAAAATGTATGGACAAAGTAAGCAACACACACCTGCATGTCATGTACAAAATCACTGACACCCCATCCCCTTCTCATAACTTTTAAGCAAAATTTTAAATATTTTTGTGTACAAAATTGACAACCCCCCTACCTCCCCAGAACAAAATGGGTGACCCCCTTAAAATCATCATCATCTCCACACCCCACCCCAGCCAAAAATTATGAACGGTCCCTTACCATGGCGTTACTACATTCCTTGGTTGATAAACAGTCAGTCACAGTTAGACAAACAAAATATAGGTTCTTTTAACTCAGAATAATAAGGGCGGTGAGGTAGCCTAGTGGTTAAAGCGTTGGCTCGTCACGCCGAAGGCCCGGGTTCGAATCCCCACATGGGTACAATGTGTGAAGCCCATTTCTGGTGTCCCCCGCCGTGATGTTGCTGGAATATTGCTAAAAGCGGCGTAAAACCAAACTCAGTCAGTCAGTCAGTCAGAATAATACATAACAGGTTTTCCTGTTTGGTCACATAATGTAAGGATTGAGACGAGCATATGTTCAACAGAGACACCGTTACCTGCAAGTGATCCACATCAACAAGCACAAACCTAGCCCTGATTTGGAGGAGGGCCTGGCGAAGGTACAAGCTTCCATCAGCGTCGAAGGGGAAGAACGATGCTGGTGTCTGCAGAACCCTGCAACATGGACAATGAATCTAACTAGGTGGAATCTCACTGCGATTCAAGGAGTGCAGGGTTTGAAATGGAATCTTGTTTACATGCGACATAAGCCACTCCTGTAAATATGTCAAGTGATTAAAAAGTGCACCCTTTGAAGTATATATGTGCCAACCAGAATAATTCAGTTCTGTAAAAAGGTAGACCCGAATTAAGATGATGTATGTATTTACATGTCCATTATGGTCAGGGTTGTCCTGTCTACTTGTGTGAAGAACTTGACTTACTAGGGGTGTCACAATTCGGTTCGGTTCATCGAAAATCGAATCGATAGATGTACGATTCAATCTCGATTTCAAATGCATCCATAAAGTACTTACATTCTAATACTGAGAGTTTATTTCACCTGAAATCGTAAGAAATTATGTTGAAAATTCGCTCCTACAAGTGTGGCCAGTAAGAGGGTATTCTCCATTGCCGGAGACATTGTAAGTGCCCAGAGGGTATGTCTTTCAAGTGAAAATTCCTTGCACAGAACATGATCATTCCAAATGACTTACAGTGACATTACAGTCACAATGAACACTTGACACCAGATTTTGTGACTGAAACTTAATTTCATGATCACTTGTTCAGTGAATATTGTTGACAACTTGTCTTGACAGTGTTCTAATTGTGCATTGTGTCAATTTTTCAAAGTTTGCCAAATTAAACTGATATTACAACAAATTTGACTTTGTCCTCAGCTTTGGTGAATCGAATCAAAATTAATCGAATCAAATGAATTGAATCGATAATCGTATCGAATCAAAGTGAGAGTGAATCGTGACACCCCTATTAATTACTCACTTCACATAATTGTCACAATTCACTTCTTTTTTTTTAAAAGTGATTTTCTCAGTTTGCCCTTAAGGCCCCGGGAACATTTCTTTTTTATTTACATTCTTTATTTGCATAATATGGGTTGTACAGATTGACATAAATAATTAGACGCTGAAAACACAGGGTGTGTATATGCATGATTCATTTGCTCACAGTCATACCCTCTCAGACAAACAAAACATTTCAAACCAAACAAATTGCCTTAATGAACTTACATATATATAAAACTTTGAAATATTTATTTCAACCATGTTGATGACTCTACATTCTTAAATTTAATCTTGAGAAGTTTTAACCTATTGTTTTCAAGAATCTATTTTTTTGAAAACGCTATCTTAGCTATGCCAATAACACTATAATACATGTACTTTCAAACCCTAAAGTTGAAGAATTACATGAAAATTTCATTTACAAGAACAATTAAAAAACAATTAAAATCACAAATATAATTGATGTCAACCGGAATATTTTTCCTGAGAGGACAATAAAGGCGATGACATGTTTTTTTAACAGCCAGTATCAATAATATTGTATTGACATGGTCTTCCAGCTAGGAATGAGACAATAGACAGCATACATACATATCATTATTGGATATTTATATAGCGCACATATCCATGCTCTAGTGCATGCTTAAGGCACTAAATGACCACATACACACCAGGGGCGTGATGGGCGAACTGTCTAAGGTGCCAGGCTAGTGATCCAGTGAGCTTGGAGGTGACGGGATCGAGCCCACCTGTGACCGGTATAGAAAAACCTTGGAGTCAACTTTGTGTGCAGACTCTTTCAGTGTTGTCACAACCCCTAGTGTACAGTACACAACCCTGTGCACTTAAAAGAACCCACGAATCCGTTGGTAGATGACCAGATGGTGGCCACATGAATACGTGCAAACACCTAGTTGCGGGTACAGCAATGTGCAGTAAACTTGAACAAAATACTGTGACTATGTGCCCCAGTCCACCCAGCTGTGAATGGGTACCTCGAAAGGATGGGAAAGTCACATTAACTCGGTGCACCTAGTGGCAGCAAGAGTTGCATGATCCCTAGGGAGTTGAGATTGATATGATGTGCCGCTGAGATTGACATCCAATGATCGAGTGGAAAAACAAAGAAGCTCTTTGAGCATGCATGTGGGATGGACTATAGCGCTATATAAATACCCATATATATCATAAAAAATAGAGACAATTGTGCTAATTGAGCTAAACATCAACTGCACATTGTTACACAAAAACTAAATGATGCATATATTAACCAAAGGTGTAGAACATTTTTGGGCACTCTTGATGTTATTAGCTTATGACAAAGTTTGTAGAAAAGACTCACAGTATATTTGTAACTTGGCAAATTATACCTGATATGTTATAACCTGCTTCAAATGTCAAGTGCACAGCATGAGGCAGACATAAAATTCTATTTGAAGGTTCCTATGACATTTATGGAACTAAGCTAATGCATTGTTGTTTAAAAAATTTCTGAGTGTTCAGAATCTAATGACTTCTGTTATTTATGAGTCTGAGTCTGAGACACAAGACTTAAATATTCTTATACTTTATCTCGAGAAGTTACTTAAATATTCTTATACTTTATCTCGAGAAGTTACTTAAATATTCTTAAACTTTATCTCGAGAAGTTACTTAAATATTCTTATACTTTATCTCGAGAAGTTACTTAAATATTCTTATACTTTAACTCAAGAAGTTACTTAAATATTCTTATACTTTATCTCGAGAAGTTACTTAAATATTCTTAAACTTTATCTCGAGAAGTTACTCCTTTTCTTTTGTAAGAATCTGTACATGTTGTCATTTAAAACAAAAACTGTCTGTCAGCTTCAGAATGGGAAGCAAAAGAATTCGACAAATAGTTGATTTTGTTACTGTACATAATATATAATGAACACTTTAAAACTATTGCTTTAAAACTGTTGAATAATATGTAGAATATTTATCGATTTTACAGCTCTCCATTCCTTTTTATATGTTCCCTTACAATATCACTGACAAATTAAAGAAACACATAATTAGCCCTCCCCGTGATCATACATTTTTAAGGAGAGATTTTTTTAATCTATAATCAGTTATCAGCTATGTAAAGATATCTTTCTTGTGTAAAATATCAGGAGAATCATACTGCTCCTCAATTATATCCCTGTTCTATATTTATGAGAAATTCACATTTGCAAAGGTAAACCTATAAAAAATTCAGTAAATGTTTGATTTCCGTACCCTCATTTTGGGGATAGGAAACTCACTTTAAATTCATACTATTTTGTAACTATTTCTTATCCTCTTTTGCCAAACAATTTATAAATTCTAACCTAATTTTGCCTTAAAGTAAGTATCAAATGTTGACAAGTTCTAGACATTATATATTTTGTTCTTCGCTGTGTTAAACAAAACCCAAACCAAATCCTTTCTAAACATTCTCACCATTCATACTAGATACAATATCATTCATGAACACATATTGGACTCTAACTAATCCTGTTATGACTACCACTGAGAACTATTGTAGGACTGACTCACCCAAGGAGGACAGATGGTAGGTGAACACTTGGGGACACACACAGCCCGACCGTCTCATTGTCCACTCCACTTGACCGCAGTACCTCGCTGACCTGACAGCAAGGCACAATGCACAGTTTAATGCAGGGGAGATTTTACCTCCACTTCACACAGTTTACGTTCTCGCTGCAGATCTTAACAAAGAAACATTCTCCCTAATTCCCTGAGTCACTGACTGGAAGAGAATATAACTGAAGAATGGGCTCGGAGAACTGTGAATCTCAACCTCAATAATTCTAATTCATTGGACTTTCCTGGCTCGTTCTTGAAAAAAGTAGAAATATACCCAGTAGTTTCATTCTTGTAAATGGTTTAAAAACATATCATATTTCACATGCAGCTACTAGCATTCTTTTTAAACTTAGAATTACAAAAATGAAAACAATTCAAAATGTTCAAAGAATAAGTTATCAAAGGTTCCATTTTTTTCACAATGATTCTTGTCAAAAATTAGATAATTTAAGACTCACAATTTGTGATAAAACTATTTCCCCAAAACAGCGTCAATATGGTGCAACTTAAACCTCTTGCCTGGAAACCTAATCTATTTAACAAAATAAAAACGTTGATGGAAAAACAATTCTTGGGCTCATGTTAATCATGAATAAATGCCCTTCAAAGAACTGAATATATTGGAAAACATAAACCTCATTAGTATTACATTGATGTACTGAAATATTACCTTAAACATATTTTATTCACAAAATTCAGTTGGACATGACAAACTGTAATTCACCTACAACATTCTCTCCATATTGGCATGACTAAAATACCAAAACATTGATGATAACAAAATGTACACGTCTTGCTTAACAGCAATATCAAATACATGCAAATATTTAAATATATGACAGCTATAGATAATTTAATAAAGGTTGTGACGATACTAAATACTAAAAGACTATATGCATACATTTAAATATTATTATAAACACAACAGAAAAATAGAAATGTGTAGTTACATTATCAGATATGGTTACTGGATTCATACAGCTGCCATCATGTTTTAACATACTTACAATTTAAATAATGGCATCATTTGATGATTCCTTACAACAAAAATTAATTCTTTCTAAATTTCAAACAAAATTCCTTAATTTGATTTTGGTTTAACAAAGGTTGTTTATATAATAGGTAATATGTACATTCAAGTATATAATACCATGCAATTTCACATAGAAAGTTACACGAATATGAGATTTGATCAGAGACATTTACTCTGTATAAATCAAAAGAGGTTATTCAAGTTATGTCCGAGGCTTGGGTGTAGTATGTTAACTGCTTCACCACAGTTGAAGTCATCAGGAATTTTGTTGGATTCAAATTGCTCACATTCTTAAACATGACAAGGATGTTATTTATGCCATTTCATAATGAAGAGAGTTCCAGGAAAGCTTTGAAAAGTTCAATATAACAATGTTATTTTCATGATGCAAATTATTGTATTTTACTTCTTCGTCTTGCCTTAATGTTTTGGTCGCTGGCCAGTTTATAACATATAGATTCTCATGTGATGAGAATCACAATCAAAACCTTTGCTGTTTCAGGCCAAACGCAATCTTTGCTGTTTCTTATTTTGATTTTCACTAAAGATGGAGCAGGAATGACTAGTGGTAGACTTCATCACTTTGTTGTTGACTACAGTAACCTTACTCCTTATTCCAGCTGGCATTTGTTTACCAACACTACAACATGTACAATCAAGAATAAAGTACTTGTCAATTCAGACAAACTTAGCAAAGTCAATACATATGCACAGAATAAAATTCCAGTGAGGGTTTAAACTCATTTTTAACTTCTTTGAAGGCATTTTAGAAGTTGTAATGATGAAGGAAACCCAAATTCTATGGATAGTCAACTACTGTACTCACTTGCGTGATAACGGTGTTAGTACCTACACCAAAACATCGCACTCATTGCAATGAAGAAGTTGACTATCCATAAAATTTGGTTTTCTTTCATTTTTAACTAAATGAACACCAAATAATTATTTTTCATGGAAAATGAAATATCATAACAGAATACAACTGATTTTTTCTTATTCTGCACAGGTACTAAATTTTCCAAGGTCCTGTGTAAATCCCTGTAAACATGATAAAATTATCAAATACACTTATTGATTATCCTAACTGTTTATTACCAACAAATCATATTTATATAATAATATAGTACATGCACCAATTATTTTGTTCTCTGATAGTAACTTACAATATTGGCTGTGTTGCAGAGGTCCTGGTAGGTGATGAATGACTTGTTTATTCCATCATCGAACTGAACAGCCACTTTATAACACTGTCCAGAAATCTGTTTTTCCACCAAACCGTGCAATGTTTCCATCCTGTGCAAAATGAATAGTGTTCATTATTTTTTATGTTAACCATATTTACTCCAGCAAGATTATCATTCAGATGAAATATAAACAACTAAACAAAGAAATGGCGATGATAAACATTTTATGTTGTCATAACTATAATAACAGTAACCAAAATCTATGCAAATATATTTGGATCACATGTCAAAATGAATATAAATTCATATAAGCTATATATCAACTATTTTATAATAAATGACGATTCCTTATACCATATAATCACACATGAAAATATAATTCCCACGTGATCAAATTAAATAATTAACTGCTTTAAATACAAAATACAAAAAACTCATGAACATCATAACATGTGTTAAGCAGAATGAAATAAATGTAGAGGTTCAACATAAAAAATATTAAACAATGTATAAATATAGAAAAGTAAAATGATATTTTGTCCTTTCCATTTTCCATAGAGCAGTCATGTGGCATTAATACAATCATTTTGTTCCTTCATGGGCACATTCTAATTTTCATCCATACACCAAAAGATCACATACAAATAGAATTATTTGTGCCCAGTTATTATTGACTGTCATACAACATTTTTCACAACAACAATCTATATCAGAATTCCTTTGTCACAAGGAAGACTGAATCAAGTGATCTTTACAGCAGAACATTTGTGAAAGAAAAAAAGCTCAATTCATCAGCATTCTAAATATAATGTATACATCTAATTGTTCTATTTATCTATAGTGTTTTAACCTAGCCAGAAAAACATAGTTTTACTGAACAGTATATAAGAAGTTTCCATTATCAGTGTCATTCTTTATGTGTCCAAACCGGGATGAAATTCTGTGTCATTATTACAGACTTATATGATTAATAAAACATTTCCGACAAACCGAAAAATGTAAATCACACCTAAAAAAACATAAGAGAACATGCTTGAGAAAACAGGAATTAATTAAGTTTAGCATCTGCCTATTTTGTCAAAAATGGCAGAAAGCAGATGTGAATTTGCATTTTCATTGTCATAACTCAACAATGCACAAAAGCTACTCAAAAATAATTACTCAATATTAAATAAACCATATATATAAATGCTCACATTTTCTCCAGTAAGATAAGATCAGCACCTCCCAGCACCCATCCTCACAATGCTGCAACGTAAGGATTCTTGCCGGTATACTATGAAATGATAAAATCGCGACTCGGATAGATCGATATTCTCTTGGGCTTTGCTTTAATTGGGCTCGGCTTATTCATTCATTATAATTGCCACCATTGTCAACGTAATTCAATGATTGTGTTGCGGTGAATGCGGTAAACCGCCCACACGGCTTTGTGTGAAGGCCCGCTGTCAAATAATTCATCGTCAGAAAAAAGTGGATAGCATATGCTGCTTGTGAGACTCTAACACATCTAAATATGATCTCGTGTTCAAGAAATTCAAAACAGTTTAAATACATCTCATAAATGTGTATTTATCTCAAAATATCGTAAAGATTTTGACACCCGGAAGTGTACACTTTATATGGTTTTACAAAACAAAAGAACATTAGAGTTATCTGCCCCTAGGGGGATTTTACGTCAAACTGGCGTCGGATAGTTAATGCGGACAGATGGTCCAGTGACACTTTGAGTTATCACAATAATACATAATATTTCAGTCAATATATAACATTTTCAGTGTCTGTTTAGTGTTAAACAGTCACATGGCAGAAAATTGAAATTGATTTTGTGGCTCAGCTATAGCTGAAATTGACTAAACCCTAAATAATTGAGAGAACCATTGTTGTGAATGAACCATACCTCATGTATGGCTTAAAGATGGTTGATAAAGGCTTTTATCATTCGTTCCATGTGTATTATATCAGACTGAAATAAATATATGTTAAATGCCATACTGTTGTATACATAAGACCTAAACAATATTCATATCAAACTACAAAAACACTGCACACAGTATAAATACACGGGCCTTGATAGAAAAAAAAAGAAAACTCCAGATTTTGTGAAGGCTGTCTTTGGCAATATTAACGAGCTTTAGAGGCAAACGTTCTCAGAGGGAATTAAGTTGTTCAAATTGCCCGAAGGTGTGGTTAGATCGACGAAAACAAGCCAGTCTTTGTTCACATTTCATGAAAAGAAATATTGATTTTCTTTTCACAACGTGGTTCGGGTTATGAAGAAAATTAACGTGAGGTCTTGGAAGTGGAGTCGAGATTTCATTTGGGGCCATTTGCGATTTGACTGTGTATACCTAACAAAATGGCACCTTGAACAACACACGGTACCATGTTCAGTTCCGAATATCCGCAATTTCATATTGTAGAATTGTGAAAAAATAGTGGCATAGGCGAATCCAGAGAACGGGGGTGCTACAAAATAATTTTTCCCCTTTTTGTTTTGTAAGTTTATTAAATGACCATTGAAACTCTCGTGAAAACGGGTGAAAATTAACTGTGCACCCCTTTCTCAAAAAGCTGTATCCCCCTGATACTGTGGTTCCAATAAATTTAAGAATTGGACAGACTTAATTATATGCTGAATCATGATGGTGAACTTATGCCTGAATGCAGGTGGTCTGGGAATGTTTGGAACCATCTTTTAGCTGGTGGTTGTGTCACGTGATCAGGATGCGAAGCGACCACTGAGGAACGTAACAAAATTGTCGAAGAATAAAAACATACTGAAATGTTAGTGTTTTCGTATAAAAAAGTATAAACACACTCTTCGATGGGACTATGAATTTCAAAAAGGTTATAAAAAACTCTCGTCTTTACTACGCTGAGTACATGCATATTTTATTCATGAAGCTACTGGTACAATCCCGTGTTTTTTATGGTACAAAAGTTAAATTATGGAGCTGTCACATGAAAAACGACTTTTTAATGTTACTCTGTTCCATTCCCATCAGACCAAGAGAAAATACGGTGCTATTGTAATTACTACCATGATCAACATATCAATGAGAGATGCAAGACTGCTTTGTGTAAAACTCCTGGCATCATCCCATAATTCTTGATGCGTTAATAGCAGCATGACCGTGGTTAGTTAGACGAGTGTAGTGAGTCACACGGAGTTTAATGATGCCTAACCCCCACAAGAGAGGGCCCAGTACCCAGGGGCCACGTGTAGGGCCTAATCATGTTGCCGCGCTCCACGGCTCAATACGAGCCTTTCAAGTTTGCATGTAATAATGTGTTGTAAATATTATATTCGATTAGTTGACTTTAAATGAAGTACTAATAAAAACCCTAGGATCCTTAGCAATGGAGGGTCTGCCATTTAGCAGAACCAGCTCTCTTCTTTATCACGCTCTGGGAAATATGCTTTTTTTCTTCGGGATTTCGGGTTGTTTTTCTGTGTTTTTGTTAACCAGAAGCTACAAAATGGCCTATACAATTATGAGTAATATTACTAACTCGATAACCCAGCCTTACAAAAGAAATGTTTTTGCTTGATAACTTTTTTAATCGACAGATACGTGTCTTGTCTAAGTTCGGCCTCGATGTGTCTGAAATGTCTTTGGCCACGACTGTGTTTGTGTAATAAGCTCCATCACTGAGATAGAGCAAAAGCTACAATATCAGATAAACAGTATTTGTATGTGTGCGCCCATGCGATTGTGTCTGTGTGTATATATATATGTGTGTGTCTGAATGATATGCGAGGGCGTATGTATGTGTCTATGCGTGTCTATGTGTGTCTCTGATTTTTATGTGTGTGCATGTGTGTGTAAGTGTGTATGTCTCTGTATGAATGATATACGAGGGCGTTTTGTCTGTGTATCTGTGCGTGTCTCTGTTTTAATGTCTGAGTATATATGTGACAGTGTGTTAATGGTGTTCGACTGTGTCTATGGGGGTATGCGCCTATTTGAGTGCCAGTGTATTAACGATGTGCATGATTGTATCTGTGTGTTAAAGGTGCCTACCTACCTCTGGGTTATTATAACCATGTTCTGAAAGTGCAATCAGTTTCTGTTTTTGTTGTAAGAAATATAAACCGCAAAATGTGTTTTTTATTAACCAAACGTGTGGTAGTGATGTCTCATCAGAAACCATATAATCTATGATATGGTCTCTGGTCTCATGCACTTCTAATAAACGGCATACTATATGTTGATGATATTTCGTCGTGGTATATACGTTCATTTGGAAATTTTTGATTTTTTATGCATATGACAAACGGCCACGTTTGAGATGGAACAACCTATATATACACAGTGCAAGACAATTCATTCATGTTTGTGATTTATGAAACTATATAAATTCAAACACTTCATAGAACGGCTGTATGAAAAAAAGAAAAGCCTCATAATTCAGATCTTACACCTTTAAGAAATGTCTTCATGAGAAAGTCATCCATTGTGCCTGTGTTATTTTTAATTACTTTTTCTCTTATTTTCCTTTACAATGAACATTCTGAACATTTTGAAAGAACTTTCGCTTCGATCCCCACCTCGAAATTCAAGTGTATTCGACAGTGCAACTTGGAACAAATCAGTGTTTAATTCACTACAGTGATTCTAGGAATGAGTGTAGAAGATATTTAATGATCTTTACCACAGCGCCAGGTCCGAGCACCAGATGGACGGAGGAGAGCACATGCTGGTGTTGGGTTTCAGCTTTCTGTACGACCCCATTTCATTATTAGTCAGGGACATGAGGGAGGTGAGGTGGTTTCGTGGTTTACAGCGTTCGTTTGTCACAGCAAGGAAGATATGGTGGTCTTGCGGTTCACGGGAGGGGAGGTGTATAGTCTTGTGGTTACAGCGTTCGTTCGTCACGGCTTGGGTGAGAAAATCTTGTGGTTACTGCGTTCGTCACGGTTTGGGTGAGGCAGTCTCGTGGTTACAGCGTTCGTTCGTCACGGCTTGGGTGAGGTAGTCTTGTGGTTTTCAGGGTTCGCTCGTCACGGGACGGGAGGTGAGGTAGTCTGTGGTTAGAGCGTTCGTTCGTCACGGCTTGGGTGAGGTAGTCTTGTGGTTTTCAGAATTCGCTCGTCACGGGACGGGAGGTGAGGTAGTCTGTTGTTAGAGCGTTCGTTCGTCACAGCTTGGGTGAGGTAGTCTTGTGGTTTTCAGGGTTCGCTCGTCACGGGACGGGAGGTGAGGTAGTCTGTTGTTAGAGCGTTTGTTCGTCACGGCTTGGGTGAGGTAGTCTTGTGGTTTTCAGAATTCGCTCGTCACGGGACGGGAGGTGAGGTAGTCTTGTGGTTTACAGGGTCCGTTCATCATCGACGGTGAGTCGAGTATAACGGAAAAACACATGGGAACAAGTGACGGAATGTGTTTTTACTGAATCATTAGTCCTTGTGAGATACCGTATGTGCCCCACAGTCACATGAAATCGACAGACCAACTCTGGTGATTTGTCTCATAATTTTGGACACCAGAATATAAAAGTTGTTTTACAAACGATCATTATTTTGTTGTCACTTTTCGCTATTTCATACGAGGGGGGACCACTTGCTGGTAGAACAGCCAGGTGTGCGAGTTGTACGTGTGAAATTGAAATTTCACTGCACATGCTTGTTGATTACCTGGCTGTTCTACCTCCTAGTGGCCCCCATCGTAAGATATAGCGAAAAGTGACAACACAATGATCGTTTATTAAACAACTTTTATATTCTGGCGTCCAAAATTATGAGAAAAATCATCAGTTGGTCTTTCGATTTCAAAATTAGTTTTTTGTTGCAATTATTAGATTTTTCTTAGTGAGCAATTCATCGGTCTGAAGTGAAGTCAAACGGACAATAGCACGTTGATAGTTTCGCTGATATGAAGCATTTAAGTGAACACCTCTAAAACCCCAAACCTGTCTCACAGTCCCTGAACCACATTATTTTCCCTTCCATCCCGCACTTTCTGCAATGCAGAATCCCTAAGTGATGCAAGTCTAGATTTCCCCAGCTTCAGGCTCTGAATGAGTCTGTCTCACAGTCCCTGAACCACATTACTTTCCCTGCTGCCTTACCCTCCTGACAATGCTAAAGCCCTAAATGAAACAACTCTAGCTTTCCCCAGGTTCAGGCCTGAATCTCCCAACATTCTGGGGCTCCTTTTCAATTTCAATGGGTTTATTTGTTAATATCAAAATCAAAATCATAATATATCCAGGGACTAAGTGTTAGTCTAGCTCTGAATCTCCTACCGGTATTCCATGGGTTCAGTTCCCCTTGATGCCCGCACACCCCTTTTCTGCTCCACCCCCTTCCTCCTCCACCCCTTTCCTCCTCAGCTCACACGGTGTGGCCTAATTGAAACACAGGCCAACAATCACCTCACGGTCGCTTCTACAACACTAACGGGTTGGCAGCACGGGTTACAGACACATGCGAATGAGTGAGCTTAGTTTTACGCCGCTTTTAGCAAAATGTCAGCAATATCACGTCGGGAAACACCAGAAAACAGACACCTGTAAAGTTGATAGCAATTACCTACATATATACCACATGGGTTGATTATCGGGTCAATATTTGGGGTTATTAATTTTTGTGAACGACCTCTCAAGGGGCTGGTTACTATATAACCCAACAGGGTGGTTATCTGACCAACTCCCGGTGCAATACCGGGAGCAAGGCCCGGCTTTGCCTCACCTTCTTCCTGGTATCGCACCTCGAGAAGAACTTTTCCCTTGGCATATCGGGTCTGACAACCCTATGCCTCTACCTCAATGTTTTTGTTGGAAACATCTTCATTAAATAAATACAGAACCATTCACATTTTTTTATTATAATATCTGCACATTGCAGGCAATAAAAATTCAACTAAAGTAAGTATTGTTTTATCTTGTGGTATATGCGAAACACCTAAGCTCGTGATTCGTTTCGATAACCACCTCTCGGTTCCCCCGAGGTGGTTATCACAGCGAACCATTCGCTTGGCGGTCATTATGTCACCCATTAACAAGGGATCGGTGTACGATTATCGGCCGGGAGTGGCAACACGAAGTCGATGGTTCGCCATTAACACAAGCTTCCTTTATACATGTAGACACATACAAGAAGACTCATGTGCCAGTCATGCACATAGTGATAGCAACTAGCCTAACCCTTCCTGGGTTAAGCGTGAGATCTTTCTCACATTTTGTCTCTGGACCAAGGTTCCTATTTATATTCGATCTTGCACGGATTAAGTAAAAAATATATGGAACGGTAACATTGTAAAGTAACATTGTTGCACAGCATGTTCAGGAGGGCTGACAGTCAAAGCGCAATATAATGGTTAATAACGACTGGGATATAGCATCTTATAAGCAGTGGATCTTACGAGATATTTACGAATATTGTCTTTGTATTTTCATGTCGACACTTCTTTTGTTTCTTTACTCTTTTTAAAATGTCGTTTTAGTTTTTAGAAAATTGGCATTATGAAATTCAGGAAGTCCCCCAGTCGATGGTAGAAACTCAGAGGCACGCTCCGCGAGCAGATGAAGGAGACGCTCGCGTTACGCTGTATCAGCGCCCGGTTACCGCAAAACCAATAACTGAACGGATCACACAGCGAATGATTTAAGGATAGGGGCTGAGAGCTGCTTGGCAGAGACAATACCAGTGTCCTTGTAACTAATGAAGGTCTCACGGCTGTTGTGACGTTGGATTACAGCATGGGCAGAGCGGGTTCATCAACCAGACCGCACTTGAGGGTGTTGATTTCTGTAGAACGTTCACGTCGACTCGCTCAGATGTCCTGTGTCTTCGGATCCAGTTCCCCGACACAACACACTAACTATTGTGTCAGCATCTGTTTATTCGACTAAGTTGCTTTAATTTCCTTTTGCTATTTAAAAAAAATGGCAGGTTTATTTTTTACGAGTTTTGAAATTAATTAATATATCACCCCTATGACCTTACTAACGTCTCTTGAGTTTGAAACACCTTTGTCTCTGTATGTCAACCGTTCCTCAGCTAGGTCTGTTCATAACGGGTTTAAACTTTTTTTCTGTTTACCCCATGTTAATGTTTTATTATATATGTCCCCAACTTCTAAAATATAGCACAGGAGAGCGAGGGTGTGTATGAAGCTTTATAAGGGTCCTGGAAATAGTCGAGTCTGGTCCAGGAAGTACAGTGATAGATGAAATGAACAGTGATCCACGTCAGCTGGGTATTCGATGACTCGCAGTAAACTAAACGTGCCCCAGGACCATTATGGCTCCATCTAAACTGGATCTACCTCTAAGCGAAACATACAAGCTGGGACCAAGCATGAGGCACAAGCCCTGACCCAGCAAAACATACAAGCTGGGACCAAGCATGAGGCACAAGCCCTGACCCAGCAAAACATACAAGCTGGGACCAAGCATGAGGCACAAGCCCTGACCAAGGATAAGATACAAGTTGGGACCATGAGTGAGATACTATTTGGATGAAGCCCGAGGAAAATTGTTGGACCAAGCATGAGTTTGTGACTATTATTATGTGCACTGGTTACAGAGGGCACCTTTCCTATGTGCAGGGAGACAATAGCAATCCTGGTAACCTCTATTATAGCTTACAAACCGCTGACCAAGAAATCAAAGGTGACAGAATCCTGAACCACCATTGGTGTCTACGACAGCTAAAATGTCCACATTCTCTGATCATACGATACGCCCGCCTCATCGATGGCTAGCCCATTTCTGATCTCTGTGTCCATGTTTATTCCTGCATATACGTCGACAGCCCCGTCGGCGGTGGGGTTCCAAGTGGTTATTGTTTGGCATGTCGTCTTGAATGACTGAGTTTGATTCCCCAAATGGGTGCACTGTGTGAAGTCCACTTTTGTTTTGGTTTTTTGGTTTTTTTTCGTTGTGATATCTCAGGTAATATTTCTAACAACGATTTGAAACCGTCTTCACAATGTCACCGGATGATGGGTGACTTGGCAGAGTTTCTTTCCAAAGTCGTCGAGTTCGAATCCTGGTACCGGTTCATAATTTTTTCTGGCTTGTCAACACTAAAGTTGAAAAATCCAAAACTTGCATCATTTGGGCTTTCCTCCCATATCAGGGCGGTGGGGTAGCCTAGTGGTTAAAGCCTTCGCTCGTCAAGCCGAAGGCCCGAGTTTGATTCCCAACATGGGTACAATGTGTGAAGCCCATTTCTGGTGTCCCCCGCCGCGTTATTGCTGGAATATTGCTAAAAGCGGCGTAAAGCTAAACTCACTCACTCACTCCTCCCAACATCGATCGTATATACCAATCAATCATAACTGAATGAACATGACGCTATTCCACTCACTCACGTTTTACCGTTACTTACGGTACGCCCCTCCAGCCCGTCAACACAATCCTACCCGACTAGGAGAGCATGGCATTTCCCCGGGTACTGTAATGTCATATCTACATCTGGACTCATAGGTAAGTGACGAGAGGTCATCTGTTATCGCACGTACAGTCACAGTCAGTCGTAGTGAATGTTCTATATATTTTAGCCCCGGCGAAATCACAGCCGGCTACGGAGGTTTGTTTGCAAGGTATATGTTAACTGTGGTTTATGTGAAACTGAATTGTGGGTTATTACCAGACGGGGTCTACATGTATTGAAGCTTGTAACGTCTCAACCTGTAAGTTTCAGGCTGCTTATTAATAGATAAATTGTGAATCTGCATTTTACAGATATGCATTTTACGATTTCGGAGAATACTTCGCTTCAGCTTTAATATGGACAAGGACTCCTAAGCGTTTGTAAACCGACGTCTTGAGCATCCGATAACATATCGTTACCGTCACCGAACACAACGTTGACGGGTAGTACATGCATCCCTTCGTCTTCAGCTTCAGTTTGCCTCCACCGCCGCCATGACGAAGGACAAGTCCCAGCACTTCTGCAGCACCGTCAAATGTCAGTGCTTGGTGTTCCTGCTGACGGCGGGGTGTATCGCCGCCGCTGTGTGTGTAGCCCTGCTGTCGACGGCGGTGAGGGGGCGCATGCCGCCGGACATGGAATGGTGGCAGACGACGATAATCTATCAGATCTACCCGCGTTCCTTCATGGATTCTAACAACGACGGGATCGGTGACCTAAAAGGTAAAGACACGTATAAAATTAAATATTCACCTTACCCTTTAGTTAAAATCAAATTGCAAACTTCTTTACATATTTCAACTGGAAAATATATCAAAATGGTATAAACAGGTACATATGTTTACATGCTGAGATCAGTGCTGCGCAAAACGTTTATCTTCTGTCATGAGAACTACTCCATGGATGTCATGGGTAATCCACACTACCCGGTGTGCACAGGCGACCTTGACCTTAGGTGACTGAGCTCTGATAACGCCAGTAAGAGATATGCTCTTTGATGTTGTAATATGCGACTACAGTATATTTTCACGTCTTATCAGTTGTCTTGATATATGTCACTGATAGTTTGTTTTAAAGTATATATATGGCAACTTTCAGAAAATGTCATATTTACTGGAGTTCAGGTGCTGTTGCTTCAAAGTAAACACTATAGACGTAACTTATAGACGTTACGCTGGGTCTCCGTTTATTGAACACATAAGGTGTTGTTGTTGTTGTTGTTGTTGTTGTTGTTGTTGTTGTTTCACACCATGCAATTTCACGTACGAACATGTTTTGGAAAGTCAGGTTGATGTATCTCAATTGCATAGATTGACTCCGTTACATAGTTTCAGTCTTTTTGGGTGCGACGTTAAACAACAAACAATGGCGTTAAACAACAAACAAATGCAATAAGGACTTTGTACAATACAAAATGAATATCAATATGTTACGGACATCGTTGAAGAGACACAAGTCCCGAGTGACCCAATACTGAACTCTTCACTTGTTTACCTACAGCCCCTGATAACACAAGCACAACGCCGGCACGCCACAACCTCACTTGGTATATATCATGGCGACTGTCACACGTGTTCTGTTCCTACATGGAAATCTCGGGACGAAAGAGGTTTTGATTCTAAATGACCTGACCCCTAGCGCATTAATAGTATCTAAACTAGGGCTGAGAATACCGTAGGTAACCCCTTAACTAGTCTGTCAGACCCTGAAGCAAATATATCCAAGAAATCCCACGCAAATCTAGAAAATGTGGCAAGTCTAGTTTTCCACAGTTTCTGAAAATGAAGAAAGTCTCAGGGCTCCTTTTTATTATATTTTAGTTTGTTTTCACTGTGAGCCTTTTTTCTGTAAAATATGTTCATTTCAGAGACCAGTTGTTAGTCTACCCCTTAACTGTCACACAGATAACACCTGGGTGGCGTTGTACAGATAACATCTGGGTGCCGTTGTAACGATAACATCTGGGTGCCGTTGTACAGATAACATCTGGGTGCCGTTGTACAGATAACATCTGGGTGCCGTTGTACAGATAACATCTGGGCGCCGTTGTACAGATAACATCTGGGTGCCGTTGTACAGATAACATCTGGGCGCCGTTGTACAGATAACATCTGGGTGCCGTTGTACAGAGCAGGCTTAGCGCTATCACTGTCGTAAGTCTATGTTAAGGTATGGGAGCTACGGTCACATTAGCGCTATGGTCGCATTCTACAACGGCACCCTGGACTGCGTGCCTGCAATGGAATGTTTACAGTACTACTACTTTATTAATAAAGCACTATAATTGTGATGAGCCGGTACTGTGTTGATCATCTAACATGATTGTATTGTGTCTGGTTCCGAGTGAGTGAGCGAGCGAGTTTAGTTCCGATGTACCTGAGAGAAAAAGTCTTCGTTGTCACCACCGTAAGTGTGTTCATTCTTGTCACTGCGATATCTTGCAACACTTTTGGTATGTTCTCTTCTTGACGTGCCTTCATCTTGGGTAGGTGGTGTAGAGTGAGGGGTAGATGGAATTTCCACTGGCATATAAATAAACCATTTCCATTGTCCACAGCATATGTTTGTGAATCATTATCAGATAGTAGTGATGGCAGGTGTTCGCGAAAAGGTGACCTTCTTTAGAAAAACAGACGTTCTCGTCACAAACACACGCAGAGGCCAGGCAAATGCATATCTGATACATTTAATTAAAGAGTTATGTATGAAATACTGACAATATCCGTTTGGAACACTTAACACTATTTATTGAGTGAGTGAGTTTAGTGTTACGCCGCTTTTAGCAATATTCCAGCAATATCACGGCGGGTAACACCAGAAATGGGCTTCACACATTGTACCCACGTCGGGAATCGCATCCAAGTCTTCGGCGTGACGAGCGAACGCTTTAACCACTAGGCTACCCCCACCGACCCTGTCAATATCTAAGAAATAACTAAATTATCCAGTGATTTTGATAAATGCCTAACTCTGAGAACTCTGTCTTAACATGTTTTAAAGAATGGGGTATCATATTTACATTCTCAGATGATAGTAAAATCCAACTAAATAATCAAGTTTGTCTACAAAGCCAAGGTCGACATCCTTGAATATCCGAGTTAGTGAGTATAGTATAGAGCATCAGCAATCTTACAGCTATTCGTTATTCGAAGTTCCGATTAAGAAGTCAAATCAGAAATCGATTGTTGTTACATGTGGACGTATTCACGCTCGCTGACCTGGTTCATATTGTCATCGTATCCCAAGTGCGAAGAATGATCACCATGCAACGAATTGCTGTATCGTCTGGTCCAATATCTGCTTTTTACATATAACTGGAATATTGCTTAGTGAAACGTTAAATCCGATGCAGAACAATGGGATAAAAACAATCCAGTGGGTATCCAGAACACAACACCGAGGGGAAAGAACCAAAAGCAATTCAGTTGTACGTCAACGTGTCCTTGCTCGAAGTATTCACCAACGCACAATGACGTCCGGAGACAAAGGGTAATCCCAGTTTTGTAGGTCACGACACCATGCAGTATCATTCTGAGTATCATTCTGAGTATCATTTTGAGTATCATTTTGAGTATCATTCTGAGTATCATTTTGAGTATCAGCAATTCCAGTGGCTTACATCTTGTGTTCTTTACTTTCAAGGCATCGTCAGCAAGTTGGACCATTTCACTTATCTCAATGTCAAGGCCATCTGGATCAGTCCCATCTATGAATCCCCCATGAAAGACTTCGGCTACGACATCAGCAACTTCGTCGACGTCGCCCCCATCTTCGGCAACCTCACGGACATGCAAAACCTCACGGGAGAGGCCCACAAGAGAGGTAGAGTTGATGTTCAAGCTTGCAATATGTCTTGTAACGTTAACAACTCCATGTTGTTGCCACTAGCAGACGACTTCAAATAGATTGACGATTAGACTGTAGCACTGTTCAATGCATTCACGCAACACAATCTAACATAACCACATTATTGACAAAGAAACTTACAAACAAACAAACAAAAACAAATAAGTTCCAAAATACAATTTCTCAAACACTTTACTTAAACTGTTTCAGAGTTTTTAATGCCTTTGGAACACAGCAGTCAGGTGGGTAGGAGTAGGGCTAAAAAGAATTCAAACCATTTGTGTCCAGAAGACATATATGACGATATAGATAGATTTTATGCATACATATTATACTTCTTTTAGTTTTGGCACTTGTGGAGATTTTGTAAAAGTGCCATTGATCACCTGGGACAATTAACATGAGCATGGCCAGGTTCTTTCTTCTTCCTTGACGAGGAATGATGAAGGTTCTTTTGGCCAGGTAGAAATAGCTATATTTTAAAATTTCGGTACAATTGCAGTTTTTGGTGTGGATATTATCATGCCAGCTTTATTGTTGACAGTAGATTTGTTTTTCGTTCCGGGGCACTTCCAAACATGGACTTGTGTGTGACCAAGTGTATAAGAATGATTAAAATATGCTAGAAGCAAATCTGTGACCAAACACAAATCAGGACAAAACTTGCTCATGGTCATATACTTATTACATGCTTAGTGAAAACCTCATTAAGCAGACCTTTTTGCAGTTTTCAACTTAACGTGTATAAAGTGTTGCTGTTCCAAACCAAACACATTGTTGAAATAAACAAAGTCCAGTTGTCATTCACATGAACATATCTGGTAACGTTCATGACAATGTTCGGTATTTTACTGTGGGAATAATCCCAAGTGTTGTTGTCTTTGCTTAATAGGAACTATTTGAGACTGGATTAACGAGGGTTCGCCATATGTATAAGGGTATGGGCACAATAAAAGCAATTCATGCGTTTACAAAGGCGTTTACAGAGGACAGAGGCGAGTTAAGAATGAAAGGCCTGCACTTTTCTGTTTAATGATCAAACCTGGTTTACTTTAAAGAGGGGTGAACTGTTGCCTGGCAAGTTAACATACAGGGGAGCTCCGTAGTGGTGATCGATGTATGGAAGTTTGTTTGTTTCGCCAGGTTTGAAGGTCATCCTCGACTTCGTCCCCAACCACTCCAGCAACTGTCACACGTGGTTCAACGAGAGCGTGAAGGGAACCGCCAAATATAAAGACTACTACATCTGGAGCGACGGGACAACCGATTCTAATGGAACCCACTTGCCCCCGAACAACTGGGTGAGTGAGAAATATACTCTGGAGATATTTGTCGGTGAAACTGAAGGGATATACACCGATATCTGACGAAGAAAGTGATTTGTGGGGCATTTCCGAAGATAGCAAACTCCTATCACAGCACTGTGACAGTCTGAAGCACGTGACCTTGGACAGCACGTGCAAAGGCGGCGTGCCAGATATATTATTGTCATTCAGATTCAGTGTTGTCGGCAGTCGCACATTCTTGAGTGAGTGAATATTTTTACGAGCGAACCCTTTAACCACTAGGCTACCCCACCCCATATTCTTGACAGGAAACGTCCAAAGAGACTTCATCAAATACATTTCATTCAGGCTGTAACCATATTGATCCTGCAAAGCAGTGGACGTTGACATGCCATAGGCATTTTGCAGGTGTCAGACGTCAGGATATTGTTGCCCAAACACCGCATGTTTCTCGGTCTGTCTTCAGCATATTGTCGACTAAAACCAACAAACACAGAACGTCAGTGATCGACGCCGCTCTGGGCGCACAAGGGCAGCAACTCCACCCCAGGACATATTAGTCAGAACCATCGGTTGTAAACAGTGCCAGTCTGGTCAATATTTGTGAATTTCCAATCTCGTGACCTTTAGTCTACATCATTTTAGTCAGGTCGAGACCGTGTTTTACCCATTAACCTCATGATCCTGTATTTCCACCTTCAGCTCTCCGTGTTCAAGAACTCCGCCTGGGAGTGGAATGATGAGAGGAAACAGTATTACTATCACGCCTTTCTGAAGGAGCAGCCCGATCTCAACTACAGAAACCCAGCCGTGGTGGAAGAAATGGAGGTGGGGGCCAAACATTTGGACGTTCAAGATAAGAATATGGTTCAGGCGACTTTCGTATTTTATTGATGTATGTACGATTGTATGTACGATTGTTTTGGGGAAGGGGACGGATGGGATTCAGGGAATTGAGCTCAGCGTTGGGGGTGAGCACTAACTACCGCCATCACTACCAGCAGAATGTGAAGTGGTTGGACAAGGAGTCCTCTGCATCACCCAGCACCTCCAGTACTCGGGTAGATTTGTGATTGTTCGTATCATTTGTGTTGTAGAACGTCTTGCGGTTCTGGCTGGAACGAGGCGTTGATGGGTTCAGAGTTGACGCTATACCTTTCCTGTTTGAAGTGACCAACACCTCCTGGAACGAACCTCGGAGCAACAGAACAGACGTAGACCCTGTAAGTGTAGCCTTTACACACACACACACACACACACACACACACGCACGCACGCACACGCACACGCACACGCACGCACACACACACTTTAAATGCACTTCATTCGGTGAAAAGGGTAAAATATTCAATCTTGTCAGAGAGATTAGTTGTGTGGTTTGTTTGTTATTTTACCCAGACACAGTTTGACTACCTCCTTCACCCGTACACCGAGAACTTAATGGATGACATGACCAAGGTGTTGGCTGGCTGGAGAGCCGTGCTAGACGAATACCAGAACTTGGACGACAAGCCGAGGTGAGTTAGTAGTCGCCATGGTGTCACCGTGATCTGTTAGACGAATACCAGAACTTGGACGAGAAGCCGAGGTGAGTTAGTAGTCGCCATGGTGATCTGTGGTAGACAAGTATCAAAACTTGGACAAAAAGCGAAAGTGATGACAAGGGTACCGTTGTACAAAACAGTCTAACCTATTGAACTGTCTACTGTCGAAGCAAGTGCTGTGATAAACTGGCACCGACGGGTACTGTCTGACTCAACTAGCAAGGTAGTAGTAAAGATCACTGCAGATATTCTGTCCTGACGAACTCAGCAACATTTTTATTCCATGGTGCCACTTTGTTCTTTCAGGTTCCTGGTTGTGGAGGCGTACACCAGGACGGCGGCGGAGAGGGAAGCCTATTACAGGACGGCGGCAGACATGCCCTTCTACTTCGGCCTCCTCAACATCAACAAGGACTGCGGGGGCTCCTGCATCCGCGACATCGTCGATGATGAATATAAAGGCCTGCCTGATAACGCATGGCCAAACTTTGTTGTAAGATTTTAAAAATCTTCGAAAACATTTATTTCTGGGGAGTGAGCCCCGACACGTACAGGTTGTATGTTGACGATTGATGTCAATACGAAAACAAAACAGGGGAAGGTCTGTCATAAAGATACGCACAGAGCAAAAAGGGAAGGGAATATTATAATCACCGAAATTGGTAAAGAAGCGATATTCATTCACAAAAGTGGTTTAATACCCATGGGCAGAGATCACTGGTCAGTAATACAAGGTCGGGTTGCCTCAGCGGCCTTTCAACATCATGGTTTGAATGTTAATAGACACCAAGTTAACTGGTAATTAGTGCAGTCGTTGCATCATATGCGGCAGCTGCAAACACCAAGCATTTTTACAGCAAACACGAGGATTCGTCAGGTGGAAATAGCGTCTGACGAAAAGCGAAGGTAGGCAGTTCGATTCCCGGCCATGTGCTCGTGTGAGCGTGTATTCTTGTATTTGTCTAATGTTAGTTTTATAGTGCTAGCAAAATACGATAGCATGCAGCAGTTTTACACAGGTCTCTCACTCCTACTGTGGCAGTATATTGACTCACATGTAGTACGCACCTTGCTGTAATCTTGACCGCGGGTCGACGTTGAAATGAGTGAATGTGGGGAATCGAACCCGGGTCTTTAGCGTGATGAGCAGACGCTTTAACCACTGGGCTACCCCACCGCCTGTGACGTTAAAACCCATTAAAGTTATACAATAAATATAATATGTAACATGGTTGGCAAGAATTTATCCTGTTTCAAGATTTGTATAATATTAAACAAAGCGTACTTTTCATATCAAGCTCTAAGTGAAATAACTATTTTTGGTATATGTTGCTTACTGTGATTTTAACCAATTACACACAAAATTACGCCATGTTGTAAATGTTTGTAAAATACGGCCGAATGGCTGGACAATGTCCAGGGCCCCGTTCCCCATTTCACATTTAGGGCTACGACCTATCAAGACTAACTAAGAACCCGACTAGTGCCGATTCGTCACCTACGATGTTATCGTTCTCAATCGGCCAGTTTTTGTTTATATTTTCCTTTTCTACGCAGTATCTACGGTAAACCTACGTAATGGACGATGAAGAGACTGTAGACTTACGTATAAATGCCGATAACACTGCGATTGAGCACCCGTTGTTGATACGATTTCACCCAGTATTGGCCGATTGGCTACGTGTAAATCACGTTTCTGCGGCGATATATCTACGATTCACTCCCGATTCCTCACGATGCTCGCCGACACAGTGATGTAAGGCTTACGATATCGAAGACTCATTGCCGTAATTACCGATTACACGCGAAGATTACCGATCGACGCCGAGTAAAGTACGTATAATTGCCGAGTAAGACACGTACAATCGGCCTCCAAACCACAAAATGGACCCGATTCTGGGCTATAAAAGCTGACGATGACAGCCGATTCTTATTATCTAGCAACATGCTCACAGCTGCACAACTACTTCTTCTGCTGCATTAACATATGGGATTGGAGATAGATATCTATCAATACAGAAGGAACCAGGAACGAAAAAGAAGAAGAAAACAGAAACGGTTTTGGGTACGTCCGTGAGGTTGGAAAGAAGATTGAACTTTGGAAACTATGACAATCTCCTATCTGAACTCACATTCGAAGACACGTCTTCTTTCTTCAACTATCTGCGAATGCCTTCTGATATGTTTGATGAACTGCTTAATTCCCTGTCTCTCTAGACTTACCAAAAAGACACCAACTTCAGGAAAGCTCTGCACCCTGGTCTGTTAGCAGTTAGCAGTTACCATAAGGCACCTAGCCTCTGGAGACAAATACCCCTCCCACTCAGAGTGTCAAGACACACCATAGCCATCTTTCTCCCAGAGGTATGCCAAGCCATCGTAGACCACTACAAGGATACAGTGATTGCATGTCCTGTCACACAAGGGGATTGGAAGACCATGAGTCTGGAATTCGAGATGGAATCTCCCTCATTCTGTTGGTGCCCTCGATGGAAAACACATCGCGATTCGTAAGCCACATGGTAGTGGAAGCCTCTACCACAACTACAAGGGTTTCTTCTCCATTGTCCTGTTGGCCCTTGTAGATGCTAATTACAGATTTCTATGGGTGGACGTCGGAGGCCTGGGTCATATGTCAGATGCTCAAATCTTCAATGCCTCAGAGTTGAAGGAGTGTAAAGAAGATGGCAGCATATCCTTGCCCGAACCTGAACCATTGCCAAATGATGATTTGGATACTTCATACTTGCAGATGATGCATTTGCCCTTCGTCAATACCTAATGAAACCCTACTCAAGAAGAGGTCTGTCAGAAGCTGACCTGATTGCCAACTACAGGATCTCCAGAGCAAGAAGAGTCATGGAGAATGCCTTTGGTATTCTTGCAAACCGATGGCAATTTCTTCTCAACACTTCGCAACAGGGTCCAGATGTGGTTATGATTATGGTTGAAGCTGCCGTGTGTCTCCATAACATAGTGCGAATGAGGTACACAGGGTTGCAAGAAATCATGGTGGATAAGGATGCTGCTGAACACAACCTCATCCCTGGGCAGTGCCGTAGTGCTCCTCCATTAATTCCCTGCCTGGCGCTCGGCATTAATGGGTACAACAAGGACTGGTCGGCTCGGTGTCAGTATAATGTGTCTGAGTGGGGTATTCATGCTTCACTGCGGCATGGTATCTCAGTGGGCTAGCACTATAAAACCAGCTTAAGTCTGGGCTAGTACAAGCAGCCGCACATACACATACACACGCATGCACGTCATCATATGAGCGAAATATTCTCAAGTTCGACGTTAAACCCAATTTCACCTCACCTCACCTCTTCCATTGATTGTGGAGGCTCGTCCTGAGAAACGGTAGAGAGCGCATCCTGGCTGTCTTCTGGTGGTGGGGTGGGTGATCTCACCCTCTTCCTGTTGGCTGATTTCTTTGATCTTGCCATGTTTCTATGTTTACATTACAGCAGTTGAAATTGGAGTGATGTTGACTTCGATCGCCGGTGCTTATATACCTTTTCTATCGGTCTGATGTGAATCGTGCAAATCGTGAGTATAGCGTGAACATTACGTAAGTGGATCGTGTCTTCTTTGGTAGGAATCGTGCTGATGCGTGGCTGTGACAGCTCTGCTTTGTTAGGCAATTAGCTTGTCGGTTCCTTGTTGGATATGTGTCGGGAGGTAATCGTGGTTGATCGGGTGTGAAGCGTGGCATTACGGAGATGACACGTGGCCGTTTCTGCCACTTAATAATGGTAGGACTCGTTCACGCTTCACCTACGGTTAAGCCGATTGCTCATGATGCTTGCCGAAGGCATTCCCGTTAACTCCCGACTCACTGGCGACTATCCCGATCAGTCACGCATAACTTACGACTTTTTTCAATCGGCTCATGTTTTCGAACCTGCTCAAAAACTTGGGCCGATTCAAAAATCACCTCCAGATTATGCAGACATACCCACGTATCTTGCTGATCTCTGCCGACTACTCCATGAATATTTCCGACATTATACGATCGCTGGCGCTTTTTAAAAAAATGCAATCGGGACCGATCGTAACCCAGTGAAATGGGGGTATATTGTTTCGGGGGATAGATCTTCTACATTTGAAAACAGGTTTTGAGAGATGTTATTTCATGAATATGTGTATTATATTACACACGTAGTACTTGCGTGTGAAATTTAGCCATAACTAAACGCCTTGACACTTACAGAGGTATTTTGTCCAAAGAGGAGTTTTTGTGTATACACACCGACTGTAAACAGTGTATACAATACATTCCTTCCGAAATAATACAAGAAAAGACGAGCGAGTCACGAAATAAACAAACATGGCTGTGTTTTGTATGAGACGTTTTTCATTAATTCACGTCTCTAAAGAACACAGATGGATGTGCCCGATCAATCCATTCCAGTGTAGACCCGAAAGGTCAAAATTATTTACATAGACTGACGGACAGAAGAAAGTATACACGGGTTCTTGATGGTGTCTAAAATACTTATTCGATTTGATACGGGTGCCATATTTGTTTTGGAACTTAAGTTTGCCCTTCAACTGTGTCCACCCAAGTAACGTTTTTGTGACGTCTGTAATTTGTTAAATTTGCTTAATATAATTTAAAAGTGTAAAGTTTCGTCTCTCCGTCATTTTAAGTGATATTGAATCATACTGAATGTACTCACTGAGCAAGGGTTCCTGGCATATTGGGAACTGAGAGAAAAGAGTCATGACGAGAAAGCAGGGGCATTTTGTAAATATACTCTGGATACAATATTTGTGCAGTTGTTGCACATGTTCAGCTGGGCACATTAAAAGGGACTTTGATTGACGTTAAAGGCGGTATACCAGGCAACGCTGCACAGAAACATTTAAACAAGTCCAGAATCTGTACGCAGCCGGAAATACATTTGAAATACCCTCGTAAATTAAACAGTATCTAAAGTGATTCTGACGTATCTAAATGATACTTACTTTGTATAAAAGGTACCTGAAAATCAAAATGCAATGCTATGATAACTAACGTTTGGACAAATGACAGAACAGCAACAAGGATTGAGATATTACCAATGAAATTGGTTTGTAATTGCAGTTTTGATTATTTTAAAACTGCTTGAATTTCAGCTAGGTAACCATGACAACCGGCGTATCTCAACGAAGAAGGGTCCCGAGTTTATCAATGCCTTCAACATGTTGTTGCTGACGTTGAAGGGGACTCCGACCACGTATTACGGCGAGGAGATCGGAATGCTGGACATAATACCCACCTACAACCAATCAGTCGACCCACAGGGCAAGGCGTACAACGAGGTACGGAATATGTGTTATCGTGATAGAAACTCGTTTATCCAGACGTAAATAGACCAGTCTCCACATATGCTAGAACGTCTTCTTGATAAAGAAAAAACACTTCTTTATGGTTTTAGTTGATATCGACCATGAACCGAAAGGATATATTAATAACATTAATGCATTCATATTTCAGGGAGTATATTGTTATTACGCCGAGAATTTTCGGGTTCCAAACATTGTCTGAAAATGATAAGCCTGGACATAAAATTATTGCCAATTAGAAGATAAAGCTACTCTGTTTTCAATTTTGCGGTCCTTAATCGTTGATTTAATACCGCTAAATGTAATTAAATAACCGAACGCGTTTGTCAAATTAATCTTTCTGTATCAACATTGATTTTGGCCTAGACTTGTTTCCACTTTCGTGAAACTACGAGCACGGGGATGACGAATTCCGGAATGGAACCCATAACTATACGCTTGGCACACACAATAAGTACTTAACGTTGGACATATGACATAGGAAGCTTGTTTGATAGCCTATTGTACAGTTTGTCTGTGGTTTCCAGTCGTTGTTCTTGAATTATTCCCGTGACCCCGAGCGCTCCCCCCATGCAATGGAGTGACGACGAAATGGCCGGTTTCACCAACTCTACGACATCGTGGCTGCCTGTTGGCAACAACTCCGACACCATTAACGTTGAGGTAAATATGTTACAGATCATTAGCTGACCGACAGATGAAAAACAGTGGGTGGGGGGATGGGGGTAGCCTGGTGGTTAAAGCGTTCGTTCGTCACTGCCGAAGATCCGGGTTCGATTTCCCACATGGTTACAATGTGTAAAGCCCATTTCTGGTGTCTCATGCCGTGATATTGCTGGAATATGAACTAAACTCACTCTATCACTCACTCACAAGATGATGGAAGAAGTCAGAAGCGACTAAACATCACTGTATGAGCATCCATCAACAGAATGGGTGAAGACCATCTTGGTGTCCCCACCTTGATATTTTGCTAGAATAATGCAAGAAGCGGCGAAGAACTATACTAAATCACTCACTCACAGATGTGTATGGATGTCGCCAAGGCGTTTACCAGCAGTCTAATATGTGTAGGAGTGTATCCCAGATATACTACACTGACATACAAAAGAAAGTATCCACTGGTGTTCTGGCAACAGGTGAGGTGAAATTGGGTTTAACGTCGTGCTTGAGAATATTTCGCTCATATGACGACGTGCATGCGTGTGTATGTGTATGTGCGGCTGCTTGTACTAGCCCAGACTGAAGCTGTTTTTATAGTGCTAGCTCACTGAGATACCATGCTGCAGTGAAGCATGAATACCCCACTCAGACACATTATACTGACTCCGAGCCGACCAGTCCTTGTTGTACACACTAATGCCGAGCGCCAGGCAGGGACCAACAAGTACCATATTTTAACGTCTTTTGGTATGACGCGGTCGGGGATCGAACCCGCAACCTTCCGCTCTCCGGGCGGACGCTCTAACCACTACAACACGGAAGCGGACCGATAATTTGTGAACATTATATCCGTGTCCCTGGACATTGTCCTCTATATACTTTATGGTGTGTGTTTCAGACTGAGAAAAACACGACGGGCTTCAGCACTATCAAACTGTACCGCACCCTGGCTATACTGCGTGAAGATCCTCCCTTCAGATACGGGCTGTTTAAAACCGCCGTGGTCAACAACAACACCTACTCCTACGTACGACACGCCGTGGACTTCCCTCAATACCTCGTCGCCATCAACTTCGGCAAAAACACCGACACCAGCGACTACAGTCAAGCCCCGGTGAACGCTGAGAAGGGCGTGGTTGTCGCCAATACCGGCAACGTCAACGCGACGTACAACGTCAACAGCACCGTTGATCTATCTCGAATCACACTCCACTCTGCTCAAGGACTTGTGATAAAAATCACAAACAAATAACGAAATCCTGATTCGTTTGATCATGTCGTTAGTTAGTGTTTGTAGTCAGAAGTCAAACTTATATCATGCAATATCGGTTTCTTGAAGTACGTTGCTATATATACATACATGTATATATGTACACAACTTTTGCATGCATTGTCCATACACTGAGTATATGTCCTGATGTAAAGTGTTTTGAAACTTTGATAATAATGCAATTACCCTGACCATGTTAAGCATTTGGCGCGGAATGACTGCATGAAACCATGGAACGTTTGTGACTTTACAACAGAATGGTGTCACATATTCGAATACATCTTGGGAAATGACATGCCATTAGTATCGGTAATACCTCTGATTCAACATGTCAGTGGATTATTTTCGAATAGAAATAATGAACCGGACAATTTATTGAAAACAAAGAAAACATTCATTTGAAAATTGAACAAGAAAATATATTAAATATCTTAATCATAGGAACACTGAATTCTACGCGATGTGCTACAGTTTCTTTCCAACAGCGTGGAGAGGAATATATTGAAAATTCATCCATTCAAATTCGAGGTGTTTAAGTGTCTATTAAAATGTCCTTTAAAAAACATATGTATGTTCAAAAGGTTCGGTCAGTATTAAAGTTGAAAAAAATGACTGTATCCTGAACATGCGTATGTTTATATAGTGAGTGAGGGCCAAATAGTGCTCTACTTATTACGTTCTTTTGTAAATATTGCACTTTCCATGTACAGAAATGTCGGTGGATGGGTTTATTGTAAAGCAGGTGGGCAATATTCAGACTATATTAGTACGCCGTGCAAACTGACATCAGGTTCCAAAGACCAACCAACAGGCCCAGTTTGAATAAATATAAACATCGATGCACAATGTCTGTTTGAAGGGAAGGTGTGGGTACTGCATCAAAGAGAATATTTTCATAAGAAAACCTAGTCGTGTGAACTGTGCTAAAGACCTACATGTCCAAAAATTGTCCCAACACCCAATCTTGCAGTGCTTTCCCTAGTCTGTCTCACAGTCCCTGAACCACATTCTTTTCCCTACTGCCAAGCCCTCTCTGCGGTGCTAAATCCCTAAATAAAGCAAGTCTAGATTTCCTCAGGTTAATCTCTGGTCTCCCTAGGGCTCCTTTTCAATATAAATGGGCTTGTTTGTTACTATCAAAATTATATATATTCAGAGACTAAGCCTTAGTCTATGCTTTCCCTTGCATGTGGTTCCACAAGGAGTGACCGTCTTTGACCTGCATTTCCTATGGTCTGCCTCAATCTCTAAGTGTGAGTGAGTGAGTTTAGTTTCAGTAACGTTTCAGCAATATTACGGCGGAAATGGGCTTCAAACATTGTACCCATGTGGCGAATCTTCGGCGTGACGAGCGACCGCTGTAACGACTAGGCTACCTCACCTCGAGCTCCCTCCCCTTCACAAAGACACTGGTAATACTCATCCACTATTATAACGTCACTCCGAGTTCAACCTTCAGACCCTTTGTTTATAAATACAGAGAAATACTGAAGTACAAACATCGTACCTGCCGCTGTACCACGACGTCCCCGTCATTGAAGCACCCGGTCTGTGTTAGTTATCAAGTGTTAACTAGCTAATGACAAGCCCAAACAAGATCAAAAAGTCAATATGCATATATTCAACATTCATTTATTCACATGTCACCGCCACAGTTAAAAACACAGATTACGTTACTTCTGATCGTTGACAGGATCTTCATATATCTATGGCGATTCTGAAAAAATACAAAAAGTAACCTTGAAAGCATGTCCATTTTCGGCAATTAACGTACATCATTTAGCTGATTAAACATATATTCTTTTGGTCAGGAAAAATAGCTTGTAATATTTTAAAAGGAAAATCAGCAAGGGATATAAAACGACAATCAGACCTAACATTGTAAGTACCGTTAGATGAATAAGCAAACGCTAGATTGATAGTTGTTTTACGCCGCACTCAGCACTATTTCAGCGGTGGTCTGTAAATAATCGATTCTGGACCACACAATCCAGTGATCAACATCATGAGCATCGATCTACGCAATTGGGATACGATGACATGTGTCAACCAAGTCAGCGAGCCTGACCACCTGATCCCGTTAGTCGCCTCTTACGACAAGCATGGGTTACTGATGATCAATTCTAACCGGATCTTCACGGGTCTGTAAGTATATGACACACCACTTGTTTGATAACAACCTAAACACCACTCTAATTTGTAATGAAGAAGTTATTCAGCCATATATTTTATCCTTGCTTTATCCAACTTCTAACCTCTCTAAGACGCTACCCATAATTGAACAATAGCTACACTACAACGAAAAGCCCAGCCTTCAGTCAGAGCTGGATCTCACATAGCGTGACTGTGGTATCCCGTATAAATATTGCAATGGTCTTTATACTGATAATAAAGTATTTTTCATTGTAACAATTCGCAACGACTTAACGCAGTGGAATATTACATGTATTTGGGAGTATTTGATCATACAAACTACCTGACATTCTTCTATATGATCATCATCACCAACTGAATTTTTTATACGGTTGTTTGGACCAAGGATATCTGAGCTGCTTTGTTATTCTGTAAACAGCCTGAAAACGGTACAGTAAATTGATCTAACAGGGAAAAACGCTGTCCATAAACCAGTCAAATAATTGAGAGAAGTCTATCATTGTTTAAACGAAAGAAATAACCTAATTGCGAAAGGCGGTTTTCCTCACGCTTGAGCGCACACGCTGGGTGTTGGGTTTCGTAATGTTCATCCCAAAACATTCAGTTGTAATGATCTTGATACAGCTTTCACAGTGTGAGCGCCTCCATTACGTGGTGGAAAAAGACGATCTAATGATACTATTCAGGCCGTAAACCTCCCCCGCCACACTCCTTCCCACCCTACCCTTCAAGATGGCCGGGCGCTTACCAATCACGATATCAGACATCACACATTCGTCCACAAAGGGCTTAGCAGACTGGATGTCTTCGCCCGCTTTCTTGAAGTCCGGCTTGCACGTGCATTTTCTGTTCACACAATGCTGCGTTAGGGCGAACTGACACACCCTAGTCGCGCTGCACTCCTCCCCGAGAAGGGAGTAGCCCACGGTGATGGGGGCGTTTTTGCAGCGGTTGTTACTCGCCCGTTCGTAGCCTGAAGCCACGGAACATTCGCATACACCGTCGATGCACTCGGCTTTTCCCCAGGGGCCTCTGCGACATGTTGTTCCGGCTGCGTCTGCGCAGTCGCCACCCAGGTCCACAACTGAAGTATTGAATACACAAAGGAATGATTAGTGATCATTGAACATTGAATGATTTTTACTGTAAGTTATTTGGTTTTCTTCGAATGGATAATGAATTGATATTGATCTAAATTTATATATAATCGTGTATGTTAGTGTAACGGAAGAATTAGATTAAATCACTACATACACAAATATATCGGCAAGCGAAACAATAAAAAAATAATTGTATTATCATATTTCACCTAATAACTCAGCCTTTTATTATTTCAGTGTTTTTTCATAAACAGTACTATATTTAGCTTCGAAACAGTACCTCTATATCTTAATTCGAAAAATATTAATGTTGCATTCATGCTTTCATAAAGAACCCAAGAGATGTTCTTTTTGTTAAATGAAAGGAAGTATTTTCATTGAATAGATTATCATATCTGTTATAATGATGAAAGGAATCAGTGCTAAACACTTTTAAGAAAATAGCTTCCTTACTCTTCAGACATTGGGATCCGGTGGGGCTAGGCTGGAACTTGGGGTCACACAGACACTCCTGTTTCTTGTTGAAGATCTTACAAGCCGAGTTGGGGGGACAGGAATTGGAGCCAGGTTGGCATGTCGCTTGGAGTGATGCACCTGAAACATGTCATCGTAAACGTAATACACATGTATACCTTTGCTTAGGTATATTTTCGCTGAAGTCAGGAAGAGGACAGTGAGTGAGTCAGTGTTAGCTCTGAAGTGAACGGTATTTCAGTTTCATGAGAGAGTGAGTGAGTTTGGTTTTACGCCGCTTCTAGCAATAATCCAACAATTTCACGGTGGGGGAGACCAGAAATGGGCTTCACACATTGTACCCATGTGGGGCCTTCGGCGTGACGGGCGAACGCTTTAACTACTAGGCTTGAGCTGTAAAGTAGTTGTCTAGTATTTGTGCCTGTATCTAGTATATTTTCCTGTGTCAAGTATATGCGCCTGTGTTGTGAAGGTCGCGTATATGATAATGTTCCGTAGTGATGGGTGATCTTGCTGTTCTGTGACCAACTGTATGTGGATGATGACGCGGTCCTTGTCCAACATTAGATTACAAGGAATAGAAGGAAAACACACGCGTACACCTCTTACTCGCTTTCATCGATTACCTAGATCACAATACTCATCGATGAATCAGTGTGACAAAACTTTGCAGCCTGAAATTTCATATCTAGCGCTACGCCTATCGTACGTGTATGCTAAGGCATGGGAGTTACGATCGCCCTGACTCTAATGTCACCGGAAACAAGGATCCCCTCACAGAAAGCAGTAGTGGAATTGGAGAAGCTGGAAATGTCTAATTCTAAAAGAAATCACGTTTAATGATGTGTACAGAAATAATTCTTTGAGTCCGAAAGCACATGCAGCAGCATGCCACTGGACATGACGTCAGGCCAATGTAACACGGTTACACGGGCGCCTGGTAGCCTAGTGGACATGACGTCAGGCCATGTAACACGGTTACACGGGCGCCTGGTAGCCTTGTGGACATGACGTCAGGCCATGTAACACGGTTACACGGGCGCCTGGTAGCCTAGTGGACATGACGTCAGGCCATGTAACACGGTTACACGGGCGCCTGGTAGCCTAGTGGACATGACGTCAGGCCATGTAACACGGTTACACGGGCGCCTGGTAGCCTTGTGGACATGACGTCAGGCCATGTAACACGGTTACATGGGGCGCCTGGTAGCCTAGTGGACATGACGTCAGGCCATGTAACACGGTTACACGGGGCGCCTGGTAGCCTAGTGGACATGACGTCAGGCCATGTAACACGGTTACACGGGCGCCTGGTAGCCTAGTGGACATGACGTCAGGCCATGTAACACGGTTACACGGGCGCCTGGTAGCCTAGTGGACATGACGTCAGGCCATGTAACACGGTTACACGGGCGCCTGGTAGCCTAGTGGACATGACGTCAGGCCATGTAACACGGTTACACGGGCGCCTGGTAGCCTAGTGGACATGACGTCAGGCCATGTAACACGGTTACACGGGCGCCTGGTAGCCTAGTGGTAAAAACGTTTGCTCACCCGCCTTATTCCCAGGTTTGTTCAAATGTAAATGTGGAAAGCCATAATTCCCTATCAGCTTCAACTCCTTAATCCCTCATACCACCCCAACCCCCACCCCCCCCAACCCATCCCTGCTGCACCCTTCCAATACACCACCACCACCACCACCCTTAGGTATTCAAAACCGCTGCCATAAAAGGCGACTATCTTGTCGTAAGAGGCGACTAACGGGATCGGGTGGTCAGTTTCGCTGACTTGGTTGACACATGTCATCGGTTCCAACTTGCGCAGATCGATGCTCATGCTGTTGATCACTGGATTGTCTGGTCCAGACTCGATTATTTACAGACCGCCGCCATATAGCTGGAATATTGCTGAGTGCGGCGTAAAACTCAACTCACTCACTCACTCACTCAAAACCGCAGAGTGACACCTCACTTCATCATCAGCCTGCGCTACAAGTCAAAACATTGATCACACAACAGTCTCGTTTCCTGTTGACTGGGTTCCGTCCTATTGCGCAACTTAGTACAGTAACCAGGCCAACACTACGTTCCTTATAATCCTTGCAAACATGTCGTACAGCGAGCACTGACAAACAGAAACCTGGAAATCACGGAAATCTCAAAACGAGGCTCTGCCGCTAGAAAAGTTTGACCGTCTAGTACGGAATTGATATTATATCAGTCACTTTGTGCATTACAGAGCTACACTGAATAAGCGCAAAAAACACATAACAGATGCATTGTGAATCATTTTACGACCTCATCAAACTGGGGCAGTCTGTGACGTCTTAGTTAAAGTCGTGCTGCCTACACCGCGCCATAAAATTTAGAAATACGATGTTATTAAAGTTTAAAATTAAAATTCAGTTGTAAATACCATTTTTTATGAAACAAGGAATTGGAATTCAGTGTAACCATAGTTATTTGTGATGCATATTTTCACTTTCACACGAGAAAATTCGGATCGGCTGAAAAGTAGGTCATTGTCTGAATAGATTAATGAGACTCATGTTTCAGTTTGATTCTTACCTGCCGCGACGAGTGTAGATGTTGATACAAGCAGAACAAGGAGAGATGTGGTCGCCGTCATGATCTTCTGAAATACACTTTCAGTATTAAATTTTACTCAAGACCGTCCGAAAATGTATCTCATGATTTACATTGAGAAAATATCTGTATTCTTTTAAACTGAAGCTGAGTCAAATAAGGGTTTGGTACAACCAGTGTTCTCATTACAGGAGATCTCATTGTAAATGCGTATTTAAGTCACTGTGTTCTTTTGTACGATGATTGGTTGAAAACATGATCAAACATCGTATTCGATTGTAAATTCGCTGCAGTTAATATATTAATACATACAAACATCGCTCACACAATTGTATTGTTACGTCGTCAGCATATATGACGGTCATTCAAATCATACGTATGACGTAAAGTCCGAATGACGTCACAAAATGAGCAGTTCCAGATGCTACCATCCGGGAGACAGCCGAAACGGCCGGCTGATGACATTGCACTGCTGTACCCGTACTCGATGTCAATGAGTGCAGACACAAAAACGTGTGGACCTTTTGGTTTACTTTTGTAAGCAGCAAATGTCGATAACATCATGCTATGTTGGTACTTTTCAGGTGTTATTGAGCATTTGAAGCATCGGAATATTCCATTTGAAACCTCCGGCTGACGCCGTCGGTTCCAAATGAATTCCCGTGCTTCAAATACTCAATAACACCCGGAAATTCGCCAACACATGATGTTTATCTCCTAATTCACAGTGCAATATAACTTTCACTGGATCATGTACTAATCCACTGTACCATACATTAATCCACAGTGCATCATAACCGTGTTTAAATAGCCCAACTACTTGTCTTTTAAACTTATATGTTCTTAATGCCTAAGAATAACATAATAAACTTTTGACACTTGTAAGCGAGAAAAAGCACGTTATGTTATTCCTATACCCGTTTGTAACTTTATGTCCGTAACATTGTTTTCCAGAGGTTTTTATGCTTTTTAACATACAAAGAACTGACAAAACAGCAAACAATTCGAACCAGTATCTCATGTCATCGACACGTGGCCTCACAGCAAAAACATACCTAAACCTACGAGATATGAAAAATACAGTATAATGTGAATTATGCATACCACGTATTGTCCTCAGAAACAGATGATTTCCAACTGAAAATATTGTGTAAGTAGACAAAGGAATTAATCATGAGATGATTTTAACGTCACAAACATACCTGACTGGTGATACCCGTGTGAGCTGATCCCACGAGAGTACGGAGTGCAGGAAGAAGGATGCTAGAAGACCTGTATATTTTCGTGTGACCGCGCCCAGTTTTGTTATTGTGTTTGCTGAGCATGTCTGAGAAAAAGATAGACGTGTGGAGGAGGGAATAATCTCTATAATATTCACCTCACGCCCAGTTTTCCGCATCTATTGTTCAACACCCGTCTGTCAAAGGAAGGGTTTCTGGGTGGGGACTACCCGGGGTAGGCAGTTCCCGGAAGGCTATTTATAGGGGGTATAAGTATACATACTGCCACCTTTGATTCAGATGGAGAATCCGAGTGGCAAATAAGTCAACATGCTTCACTCCCCACATGAATCTAAGGGATGTTATCATAAATGATTCTAGTTTAATTCTGACGAAGAATGGGTCATGAAAAACTCGGCGAGTGTGAGTGTATTGGGATTGGGATTGGGAGGGGTCTGTTCGGCGTTAAAAGTTTAACGGTCGTCGGTCATCTCCTACCGGGTACCCTTTAACTGCAAGGTGAACATCCAACGGATTGCAACTTCTGAAGTGGTCGATTGCAATGTGTTACAATCCAAACCCCAATAAGGTTGAACAACATAGCTTTATGATCAATAAACATACTGACGAGCATTTGCGTATGGACCCAACCTACCACCATATAACAACCTTACAGAAGACCCAACACTACCACGTATATAACAACCTCTCTCTCTCTCTTCTCTCTCTCTCACACTCTCACACTCACTCTCTCTCTCTCTCTCTCTCTCTCTCTCTCTCTCTCTCTCACACACACACCCTCTCAAGCTTCATCACGAAAGTCTAAAATGTTAACATGTTAATCATTTCAATTATTCGTTTCAATTATTCAAGCTCGACATTAACCTAGACAATACCACAATGTTGTAACCAGATCTGTATCTGCAATATCCCTGGAAACACGTTTACAAAACTCAATCACCCAGTCGCCAGGTAGATCACAGAGTTGAGGGTTTATCCTCATGTCTGTGGAATATTTACTCTGTGTTTTGGTGTCGACGGTGTTGATGGATGTGTCGATGTCAAGGAGCAACATTGAATATTCGCCTTGTGGAGTACTGATGTGCCGTGATCTGTGTCGAACAACAGGAAAATGCCTCGCCTATCGTACAGATACTTCGCAGTTATCGTGCACCCTCTCCTTTAATCCACCAGATCTCAGACATCTCCAGGGATACATTGAAATTACCGTAAATACTTTTTCATTTTATGCTTTACCAATAGCTGTGTCGGTGAACGATGGTCCGGCGCTCTCGGACACTGCACTCTCTGTGTAGAGTTGACGGCAAGGGAGGTTTCTGATGTAGACGGCAGAAGGCAAGGGACGTTTCAGTTGTAGCTGGGAGAAGGCAAGGGAGGTTTCTCTTGTAGCTGGGATAAGGCAAGGGACGTTTCTGATGTAGCTGGGAGAAGGCAAGGGACGTTTCTGATGTAGCTGGGAGAAGGCAAGGGACGTTTCTGATGTAGCTGGGAGAAGGCAAGGGACGTTTCTGTTGTAGCTGGGAGAAGGCAAGGGACGTTTCTGATGTAGCTGGGAGAAGGCAAGGGAGGTTTCTGTTGTAGCTGGGAGAAGGCAAGGGACGTTTCTGTTGTAGCTGGGAGAAGGCAAGGGAGGTTTCTGTTGTAGCCGGGAGAAGGCAAGGGACGTTTCTGTTGTAGCTGGGAGAAGGCAAGGACGTTTCTGTTGTAGCCGGGAGAAGGCAAGGGACGTTTCTGTTGTAGCTGGGAGAAGGCAAGGGACGTTTCTGTTGTAGCTGGGAGAAGGCAAGGGACGTTTCTCATGTGTAGCTGGGAGAAGGCAAGGGACGTTTCTGATGTAGCAGAAAGAGAAGGCAAGGGACGTTTCTGATGTAGCTTGGAGAAGGAAAGGGAGGTTTCTGATGTAGCTGGGAGAAGGCAAGGGACGTTTCTGATGTAGCTGGGATAAGGCAAGGGACGTTTCTGATGTAGCTGGGAGAAGGCAAGGGACGTTTCTGATGTAGCTGGGAGAAGGCAAGGGACGTTTCTGATGTAGCTGGGAGAAGGCAAGGGACGTTTCTGTTGTAGCTGGGAGAAGGCAAGGGAGGTTTCTGTTGTAGTCGGGAGAAGGCAAGGGACGTTTCTGATGTAGCTGGGAGAAGGCAAGGGACCTTTCTGTTGTAGCTGGGAGAAGGCAAGGGACCTTTCTGATGTAGCTGGGAGAAGGCAAGGGACGTTTCTGATGTAGCTGGGAGAAGGCAAGGGACGTTTCTCATTGTAGCTGGGAGTAGGCAAGGGACGTTTCTGTTGTAGCCAGGAGAAGTCAAGGGACGTTTCTCATGTAGCTGGGAGAAGGCAAGGGACGTTTCTCATGTAGCTGGGAGAAGCAAAGGACATTATTGATGTTAGCTGGGATATGGCAAGGGACGTTTCTGATGTAGCTTGGAGAAGGCAAGGGACGTTTCTCATGTAGCTGGGAGAAGGCAAGGGGACGTTTCTCATGTAGCTGGGAGTAGGCAAGGGACGTTTCTGTTGTAAAGCTCGGAGAAGTCAAGGGACGTTTCTGTTGTAAGCTTGGAGAAGGCAAGGACGTTTCTCATGTAGCTTGGAGAAAGGCAAGGGACATTATTGATGTAGCTGCTGGGATAAGGCAAAGGGACGTTTCTGATGTAGCTGGGAGAGGCAAGGGACGTTTCTGATGTAGACAGGGAGAAGGCAAAGGGACGTTTCAGTTGTTGTAGTCAGGAGAAGGCAAGGGACGTTTCTGATGTAGCTTGTAGAAGGCAAGGGACGTTTCTGTTGTAGTCAGGGGAGAAGGCAAAGGGCGTTTATATGCTAACCGGGAGAAGGCAAGGGACGTTTCTGTTGTAGCCAGGGAGAAGCCAAGGGACGTTTCTCATGTAGCTTGTAGAAGGCAAGGGACGTTTCAATTATGTAGCTGGGAGAAGGCAAAGGGAGGTTTCTCTTTCGTAGGCTGGGATAAGGCAAGGGGCGTTTCTGATGTAGCTGGGAGAAGGCAAGGGACGTTTCTGATGAAGCTGGGAGAAGGCAAGGACGTTTCTGATGTAAACGGGAGAAGGCAAGGGACGTTTCTGTTGTAGCTGGGAGAAGTCAAGGGACGTTTCTGATGTAGCTTGGAGAGAAGGCAAGGGAGGGTTTCTAATATATGGCTGGGAGAAGGCAAGGGACGTTTCTCATGTAGCTTGGAGAAGGCAAGGGGAGGTTTCTGTTTTAGCCAGGAGAGGCAAGGGACGTTTCTGATGTAGCTGGGAGGGAATGCAAAGGACGTTTCTGATGTAAAGCAGGAGAAGGCAAGGGACGTTTCTGTTGTGGCTGGGAGAAGTCAAGGGACGTTTCTCATGTAGCTTGGAGAGGCAAGGGACGTTTCTCATGTAGCTGGGAGAAGGCAAGGGACGTTTCTGATGCTAGCAGAAGAGAAGGCAAGGGACGTTTCTGATGTAGCTTGGAGAGAAGGGAAGGGAGGTTTCTGATGTGGCTGGGAGAGGCAAGGGACATTATTGATGTAGCTGGGATAAGGCAAGGGACGTTTTCTGAGTGGCAGCTTGGAGAGGCAAAGGGACGTTTCTGATGTAGACAGGGAGAAGGCAAGGGACGTTTCTCTCACTTAGCTGGGAGAAGGCAAGGGACGTTTCTGTTGTAGTCAGGGAGAAGGCAAGGGGAGGTTTCTGTTGTAGTCAGGGAGAAGGCAAGGGACGTTTCTCATGTAGCTGGGAGAAGGAGAAGAAAGGACGTTATTGATGTAGCTGGGATATGGCAAGGGACGTTTTCTGATGTAGACAGGGAGAAGGCAAAGGGACGTTTCTGATGTAGACAGGAGAAGGCAAGGGACGTTTCAGTTGTAGTCAGGGAGAAGGCAAGGGACGTTTTCTGATGTAGCTTGTAGAAGGCAAGGGACGTTTCTGTTGTAGTCGGGAGAAGGCAAAGGGCGTTTATATGTATGTAACCAGGGAGAAGGCAAAGGGACGTTTCTGTTGTAGCCAGGAGAAGCCAAGGGACGTTTCTGATGTAACTTGTAGAAGGCAAGGGGACGTTTCTGTTGTAGTCGGGAGAGAGGCAAGGGGAGGTTTCTGATGCTAGCCGGGAGAAGGCAAGGGACGTTTCAGTTGTAGCCGGGAGAAGGCAAGGGACGTTTCTGTTGTAACCGGGGAGAAGGCAAGGGGACATATCTGTTGTAGCTGGGAGAAGGCAAGGACGTTTCTGATGCTTGCTTAGGAGGCAAGGGAGGTTTCTAATATGGCTGGGAGAAGAGGCAAGGGACGTTTCTCATGTAGGCGTAGAGAAGGCAAGGGAGGTTTCTGTTTTAGCCAGGAGAGGCAAGGGACGTTTCTGATGTAGCCGGGAGAAGGCAAGGGACGTTTCAGTTGTAGCCGGGAGAAGGCAAGGGACGTTTCTGTTGTAGCTGGGAGAAGGCAAGGGACGTTTCTGTTGTAGCTGGGAGAAGGCAAGGGACGTTTCTGTTGTAGCAGAAGAAGGCAAGGGACGTTTCTGTTGTAGCTTGGAGAAGGCAAGGGACGTTTCTCATATGTAGCTGGGGAGAGGCAAGGGACGTTTCTGACTGTTGTAGCAGAAAGAGGCAAGGGGACGTTTCTGATGTAGCTGGGATAAGGCAAGGGGAGGTTTCTGATGTAGCTGGGAGAAGGCAAGGGACATTATTGATGTAGCTGGGATAAAGGCAAAGGGACGTTTCTGATGTAGCTGGGAGAGGCAAGGGACGTTTCTCATGTAGACGGGAGAGAGGCAAGGGACGTTTCTGATGTAGCTTGTAGAAGGCAAAGGGACGTTTCTGTTGTAGTCGTCAGGGAGAAGGCAAGGGAGGTTTCTGATGTAGGCGGGAGAAGGCAAGGGACGTTTCAGTTGTAGCCGGGGAGAAGGCAAGGGACGTTTCTGTTGTAACCGGGAGAAGGCAAGGGACATATCCGTTGTAGCTGGGATAAGGCAAGGGACGTTTCTGTTGTAGCCAGGGAGAAGGACGTTTCTCATGTAGCTGGGGAGAGAGTCAAGGGACGTTTCTCGTATGTAGCTGGGAGAAGGCAAAGGGGACGTTTCTCATGTAGCTGGCTGGG